CTGTTATTCACTGTTGTTAATTAGAATATCTCTGGTGATGCTCTGATTGTGAGTAGAATATATGTGGTCTTTGATGAAGCTTTGCTGTTAGTGTATTGTCAGGCACCTTGAAAGACATGGTTTTGTCTTGCCTATATACAGAGATCGTTGGAGCTGACAGCCCCTAAGAGGGCATGAGAAAGCTGGCTGGGGTTGCCTAAGGTTCATAAAACAGGTATACTTATTCGTCCTATTTTGTCAGCGATTGGTACTTTTAATTACAATTTGGCAAAGTTTTTTGTTCCATTATTAGAATCATTAACTTGTAATAAATTTACTGTGAGAAACTCTCAGGATTTTGTAAGTCACTCTTCACTAATACTCCTCTGTGGGAAACTTTTGACATGTGTGTAAATCACTTATTTGCTGACACTAATTTGGTGTCGGAATTTTGTAGCAAGATATTTAGACGGTTGTTAGAGTTGGTAGTTAAAGACTCTATCTTTGTTTAATAATAAATATTATAAACAAATTGATGGAGTAACAATGGGTTCTCCATTAGGCCCCGCACTTGCTAATGCTTTTTTGAGTTTTCATGAGAGAAATTGGCTTGATAAATGTCCTCTGGACCAGTCTTGTACAGGAGATATGTGGATGACACTTGTTTGTTATTCAAGGACTAATCTCAAGTTGAGAAATGTAGAGAGTATCTTAATGCACAACATTGTAATACGTTTCACTGCAGCGTGAAAGGGATATAATTCGTTGTCGTTTCCTGCTGTCAAAGTGAATAACCTTAATGGGTTTAACACTTATGTTTATAGAAAACTAACCTTTACAGGTTTAGGCTTAAATTTGAATTCTTTTGTTCCAGCTATTTTTAAGAAAAATGCAGTTAATACTCTAGTGAATAGAGCCTTTGTTTTATGCTCAAATTGGTCTAACTTTGATCAAGAAATTAATTTCATTTTGATTTTTTTTTCAAGTAATGGTTGTGGGGTGTTTCTTTTTTGCTTTCCCGACTGCAATGCGTACGTCGCCAATGTACATGTGGCAGACGCTTCACGAAGCTGTCGGAATTAGCAGAATAGAAAATACGAGAGCAACCGTACAGGGCCTGGGAGCAAGGTCGAGTTAGAGTCCTTGAGGGTCTCTTCTCAGACTAGCCTCACCTGGTCCTGCTCCACGTTGATCGTTGGAATCTCCTCAATGATTTAACACATTAAGGGACTCCTAGGGTCCTCATCACATTTATAGTTTGTGACTTATAGGCAACTCGGTGTTGGAGACACCTGGAGCTGAAGGCTTGAGTAAATAGTTGGCAGTATTCAGAAGTGGTTCAACGGAAACACCGCATAAAGCTTAACAGTAGTTTATTTACTAACTTAACCACTAATACAAAGGGTGCTTGATTTACTTTAGATTGGCGTCAGAAAGGCTATGGTTGCATTAGTGAGACTCTTGACGTCTGGCTAATCGACTCGGATCCACTCGTGGAAAAACACCTAACTGAACACAGTTGACATCCAATCATTAACACGGCAACCTAACTGCCGGTATGCAAAGGGATCACAAGAGTTCCAACCGGATACTCGGTAATGATGATATGCAATAAATCAACAAATACACTGTCAATGGGACAGGCAATAACATGCACAATAATATTATCACACAATAACTAAATATGTGGTGTATGTGAAGCTCACATTCAACAGACGAGTGAAATGCCGTGATACCACACAGATAAACACGCATTCACCGTCGATTCACCTATGACCTGTGACAGGTATGAGAAGGTGAGAACTGTGGTTGATCCCTCAGATCAACACAGACACAATAAAACAATGACAAGATCTTGTACTTACAGATAGGGTACCATTCCTTACTCATGTAACGGGGGGTGGGGGAAATAGCTCTATCTTGTCCATTATTCCACCCCCCCAGTTAACTAACGAGGCCAGGGGAAACAGCTCTCTCTAGTCCGTTATCCCGTCCCCAGTTAGCTAACTATTCTAGAGCACCTCCAGAGTTCCTAAGGCAACCTCTCTCGTTCAACACCTTGTAACCTAGGTATTTGAATACCTAGGTTACAAGGTGTTGAACGAGAGAGGTTGCCTTAGGAACTCTGGAGAGAACTCTAGAATACTTAATCATTGCCACAAACGTATAAGAGGAAACGAAAGGAAAGAAATGAAAAGTGAAGTAATTAGTGAGGGTTTGGGGTGAGAGGTAGGGAGGTGGGAGGAGCGAGGAGGGTCATTAGTTGAAAGTGAGAGTTTAGAGAGGGGTGGAGGGAGAGACGTAGATAGGTAGAAGTAGAAGAGTAGATAGTAGAAGTAGATAGTAGAAGACGAAATGCTGCCACCATCCATTCATGATCATTACATACAAGACAAGGAATGGAACTTGCCTGTATCACAAAATTCTCAAAGGATGTTATCATGAGTTCATTATTAGTATGTTCCCTCTGTATCATGTATCAACTCCAAACATGTACTCATTAAATTAATATCTTGAATCTAGTAACCACCGAAGCTTTCTCACCTCAACTCAAATCTCAAGGGAACAAAATAAAGTCCATTTAAATGATAAATTCAACAATTATATTTCACATTAAGTATCATAATTTAGCAATCCAATTAAAATGTTCCAGTTTAATATGCAAAGTGAGTCATCATCCAAGAATTCGAGAACCCTACAACTTGACTGCCCCTGATCATCACACAACATATGTAAACACGACCAAGTCACCTTAATGTTCACTCACCGAGGACTGAGTCTAAGTTGAATAGAGAGGGGGGGGGGTCTGTAGCTTGACAGAGACTGTCTCGCCCCTGCCGGCCGACAGCCTCCCTGCTAGGGACGTCTTCTCTACTAGCTCGTCTGCTGTTCTGTCTGTTAATGCTTTCTGCTCGATAGTTCTCCGAGTATTTATTGGGGAACCTAGTAGCTAACTCCGCCCACAAGTAGATAGCCTCCGGCACTACCAAGCCACTCCTTAAACGTCGGCATGTTTGAAGGCTACCCGGCTCCAATTATACGCTTAGCGGAAGCAAGGTGAAATTCTCATGATCTGACCTCAGGTCACTTGGGGTCATTAACGCTTTGAGGTGTGAGATCTCAGGCCGACAAACTGGCGCCTCTCAGATCCTTGTCTGTGACTCATGTACTCTATGTATGTATTAAACTAAACCAAACACCTTACAGTGTTACACTCACTCACTCAGGCACATTTATACAAGCACTCGTAGGTGGCCTGACAGCTGGTTTCGCTCGTAGACACGGAGGGTACTTGCAGTAGGGCGGGCCGTATGCTTAACAGACAGACACCAGCACACACACTGGTGCTGGCGATGAGCAAGGTGGTGACGTCACGAAGTAGTGTGAGGACGGCGCCGGGCGCTCGAGGCACAGAAGTACTGAGGTACTGAGGTACACGCTCGGGACGAGTGGCGGCGGCTGTGGTACCATGCAGGTACACTTGTGGTAAAGTCACACACAGGTTACTTAGGCGGCGGCACTGCCTTAGTTCACTCTTAAGTCATTCACAACGATCTTTGTCACCAGGGGTTACCTGATACCAGTCTGTTTCGCTCTGGAGATTTGTCACTTTAGGCTTCTGAATAATATATTCCCACTCGTGATTCTGGGCGAGTGTGTCGTATAATCTTCAGACGCTGAGTTAACTTGACGGTGAGGAATAGACGGTTGTTCAGTCTATTGGCCGGTAGACAGAACAGCTACACGTCCACTATGCAAGAGATCCCTCACAAGAATGCCTTTTGCAAGGACTGCCGGGCATCTCCTGGCACCCAGCACAAAAGAGTTACAATTTGACCAATAGCATTGCAGCAAATGAGCGGGAACCAATCATATTAGCTCGTTCGATGAGCAGTAGCAGGAGTGACGTCATGAACACGTCACGACCACGTCATAGCTGTTATTTTCCATCGCGCCGGTTGACCCCAGAGGTCAGACGCTGCTAGCGTCTCCCCTCTGTCCCACGCTCCACCACCGAGCAAGGTACCCACTGACCCTTCGGTGGCAAGTATGCTTAACTCCCTGTATCTACTTCCTGCCTGAACATACGGCGGCCTCCATATTATGAAAGTGTTCCTGGTTAAGTGGGCATTCTGGAGATACCCAACACGCCAGGTCACTATCCAGGGTTAACAGAAATAGGACCTTGTGCACAAGATCGGTGCACTGTGCACAGCAATGAGCCATTCCAGTCAGCTGTGGGAGAATCTTGAGAGACACTCTTACAATGGTTACCCTGCTCATATGGTATATACTTTTATAAGGAATTTCTTAAATAAGAAGTTTCACCCTTCTTGTAGGATTATTACGGTAGAACGGGATTTAAAATATATCAAATTACCCTTTTATGGCACCATTAGTTTCTTTTTTGTAAGAAGTCGACTGAGGAAACTTCTACTACATTGTTATCCTCAAGTAGACTTTAGATTTATTTTTGTCAATACAAATACCATAGGCTCCTATTTTAAATTTAAAGATATAGTGCGTACCCCCACCCGTCCCCCTGTGCTCTAATATCGTATATATGTATAATTGTTCCAGCTGTAATGCTGGATACATCGGACGTTCCATTCGCAACTTTAAGATTAGGATACTTGAGTACCAGGGAGTATCATTGAGGACTGGATTACCATTATCCAAACTATCATTCTCGGAGATTAGAAATCATCGTTATGAGTTGAATCATTCTCTGCTGGAATCCAATTTTAAAATTTTAGACACTTTCATGAATGGCCAGTCGGATTTGAGATGTTGTTCTTTAAGATTCGCTACTTGGAACAAAAAGTTCCAAGTAGCATGGGCTATGGTGAGCCCGTAAGGATTTGATAATAATGGAATCCTTTTATATCAGGGAGCTGCGGCCTCAGCTAAATAACAACGTTTCAGCTGTTCAATTGTATACTGCATAATGCACAGTAGGGCTTGTATTTTGATTTATAGATCATGCTGACGTCTTTATTATTTGCTTTATTTATTTGCAGGACTAACCCGAAGAAAAATTCGCCTCAAACTAACTACCCAGTCCCTAAAATCTGATCTTATCCAGGCTGCTGTATCCTCTAAAAAGGGGATTTACATCAACGAGTGCTTGACTAGAAAAAGAAAGGCACTCCTTTACCATAAATGTGGTGATCTCACTGATATCAACAATTACAGACCTATATCAATTCTGCCAAACTTGTCAAAAATATTTGAAAAACTAATCTACAAGCAGCTTTACTCTTATCTAGCCAAACACAATATAATTAGCTCTTGCCAATATGGCTTCAGACCAAACAAAAGCAGTAATGATGCCCTTATTAGTATGATTAACTTATTACATGCAGCTCTTGATAAAAATGAATTCCCTGTTGGGTTATTTGTGGACCTGCGTAAGGCATTTGACACTGTCAACCACCAAAACCTTCTTCTTAAATTACATCATTCCATCAATCCGTCCTCTTAAAAATTACGTCACTTTTGGCTCGTATGCGCGCTATGGCCAAATTTGGACGTAATTTGAAATGAAATTGACTCACAAAAGTGACGTTCTGTTCCGTTTTCTATTTGAGTCGTCTGGCGTACGCGCAGAGGTTATGAGAGGACACTTTAAATTAACGTTTTTCATAACGTTTATGAGAATTTCCTGCCCACCTAACCTATCAGAGGACCCTTAACTTACTGTTGTGAAAAAAAAATCCCAAATTTATTTTCATTTTTTTTCATTTTCAAATTACGTCCAAATTCGGCCATACGGGCAAACGGCCAAAAACGACGTTCTTTTTAAGAGGACAGTTTGTATATAGTCAGAGGTCACTCCCTGCAATACCTCAAATCTTACCTTACTGACAGGCTCCAGTATGTTTCTGTGAATAATTCAATTTCTCCCACCCTACCCATCAACATTGGTGTTCCTCAGGGCAGCATACTTGGCCCTCTCCTCTTTCTTATCTACATTAAGGACCTTCCAAATGCCTCCCAACACCTCAAACCAATTCTATTTGCTGACGACACAGCCTTCATTTATTCCAGTCCTGACTCCCTTGCTCTAAATGCCACAGTAAATACTGAGCTAAATAGAGTCCATCTTTGGCTAACCGCCAACAAACTCACCCTTGACATTGACAAAACTTTCTATATTTTGTTTGGCAATAAATCCTCAAATCAAATAAATCTCAGGATAAATAATACCCAAATTTGTAACAAAATAGATGGCAAATTCCTTGGCGTTCTCATTTACCACAAACTGAATTTCCAGGGACACATTCTAAATATATCAAAAAAAGCTTCAAAAACTGTTGGCATTCTTTCTAAGATCAGATATTATGTACCTCGCCCTGCCCTGGTGAGGCTCTATTACTCCCTCATCTATCCTTATCTCAATTATGGTATCTGTGCTTGGGGTTCTACTACCCAAAATCATTTACGTCCTCTAATTACTCAACACAAAGCTTCTATTAGGACAATGTCCAACTCTGGCCCCAGACATCACTCGGAACCCCTTCTCAAATCTCTGAATATGTTAGATATTAAGTCACTGAACATCCTCTCATGTGTATTATATATATATATATATATATATATATATATATATATATATATATATATATATATATATGTCGTACCTAGTAGCCAGAACTCACTTCTCAGCCTACTATCCAAGTCCCGATTTGCCTAATAAGCCAAGTTTTCATGAATTAATTGTTTTTCGACTACCTAACCTACCTAACCTAACCTAACCTAACTTTTTCGGCTACCTAACCTAACCTAACCTATAGAGATAGGCTAGGTTAGGTTAGGTAGGGTTGGTTAGGTTCGGTCATATATCTACATTAATTTTAACTCCAATAAAAAAAAATTGACCTCATACATAATGAAATGGGTAGATTTATCATTTCATAAGAAAAAAAATTGAGAAAATATATTAATTCATGAAAACTTGGCTTCTTAGGCAAATCGGGCCTTGCATAGTAGGCTGAGAAGTGCGTTCTGGCTACTAGGTACGACATATATATATATATATATATATATATATATATATATATATATATATATATATATATATATATATATATATATATATAAAACGCTGAACTGTAATGCCAATCCTGACCTTAAAAGCTTCATTGAAGGTTGTAACAGAACCCATGGGCACCACACCAGAAACAAATACCTTTTTGATATTCTAAGAGTACGACTTAATCAAACTAGAGATGCTCTACAAATCAAGGGACCCAGAATGTGGAATGACCTTCCCAACCATCTTAAAGACTGTACCTCTCTTAACCAGTTTAAGATAAAAACTAAGCACTACCTAATTAACTCCCTGTAACTTACCTTACCCCTATAATGTCAACCCATGTCTGTTATTTTTAAACAATGCTGTTTGTCGACCAAATTATATTTTTGCTGTTTTCCTGCCATGTTCCCCCCTTTTTTATTTTTATATTTTCTCAACACATTTTATACTTTAATCTCAATTAGTATTAAGTTTTAGTCTAAGTGTTTTTCCTGCCCGAAACGCTTTGCGTAATAGTGGCTTTAGGCTTTGTATGTACTAGCTCTATCTATAAACCCATCAATGTTTGTATCTCACCTTGTATGTATGTACTTTACCTGAATAAACATTTAAAGCTTCTCTGACTTCTGTACTCACTATTGAACAAAAAACTATGCTCTGTTCTAGTAAGAAATGTCGAAAGCTTTGTACTTTCAGCACCAAATACTATCAATCTCTCTCAGAACATTTCACACAGGAATGCTATTACTGTAATGGAGATATACCCAGTGCCTAATACTAAAGACCACAAGATCCAATGTTCCTCCTCCTGCAGAAGCTCAGAAACTCTTGCATCAAGGTATTAAAATCCTCAACACCAACACTCCTCCCTACCTCATTACTCCAGTTGACTATCTTCCTTTGCTGCAATGCATCAAATGTTATAAGTACAGCCACGAAACACGTAAATGCAAAAGTCCACAAATTTGCTCTAAATGCTCTGTAAAAGGTCATTTTTATACTAAGTGCTCCACCCCCAACCTAAAATGCACTAATTGCCAAGATGCTCATTCAGCAGTTGATAAATCTTGTCCTCTGAGAAAACAAACTCTGAAAACTCTTCGTACTAACCAACCTCGTACTCATGCACACCCTCATTCTTCCTCAACTTCCCAAAACCCCATCCAATCACCAAACAGCATCAGCCAACTCCATGTCCTATGCCAGTGTCCTAAATGCTTCCCCTTACCAGCAACATCACCCCCTACTACTACACAACAAACTCAGTCCCCTCCACCTTTCTTCTCTCACCCATTACCTCCACCTAATTCTCCTCTTCAGAACCTTTCATATGAACGAGTCACTGCCTGTGTACAACCTGCTTACCTGAAGGCCAAGGATAATGGTCGTGACTTTGCTGACTATCTTTCTATCTTTCTCACTCACAACAGTCTTCCTAGTATCTTTGTCCCTCCTCCTCAGCTCTTGTGTTCTGCTCCATTCTCACCTACAGTCCTCATTCCACAAAAAACTTATGCTTCAGCTGAGGTAAATACTATAGTTCCCCCAGAACCTCCAACCAACCCACTCATGACTGCTATAGAAAACGAAACCACTGACCAGACTGTAGACCCTGGACTATCCCAAACTGATCCATCCATGTCCCAAGTACTCTCAACCTCAAAATGATCTGCTACCAAAAATTTTAGCCAAATATCCCCAGTTTGCTAACTGTAGGTAGTAACTAAGTGATTGTAACCAATCCACCACTGACCACTGGAGGGGGGGTGGGGGCGGTGTACAGGACAAACATATCAATTGTGACACTAGCTCTCCACATATGTCAGTTGCTTAATTTAGAAGCTACTATTGGTCGATCTCAATCCCATTTATGATGTGACGACTTATACTGAATTTTGTAGCTAGATCATCAAGATTGTAACTTGGTTAGCTAAATAAATTGTGGGGTTCAGTCCCTGAGCCCATTATGTGCCTCTGTAACCCTTTCCACTACCGCCCACAGGATGGGTATGGGGATGCATAATAAATGAACTAAACTAAAAAAATCCTCCCAACATCGTCCCTTCCACTTCCAATCTCACTTCAAACACTATAACTTCCGGTACTTCCCACTTGGTCCTTGTCAACACGCCTTCTGCCGTCTTTCATCCCCCACCAGCTCCAGTTATTCCATCTGTAACGCTTCACGCCACCCGAGCCCGCTCAATAACTCGTTCTCTAACTCCCTCTTCCCGTTGTCAACCTCCCATTACTCATTCCTCCCGCCTCAGTAACTGCCCCAGTCACTGAATATGGCAATCCTCATGTTGACCATGTACACGCACAAAACCCCTCCAGCACCCCATCAAAACCTCAACATTCATAAAGATCATCCAATTCAATGTGCGAGAATATTTCTCTATTAGACACATGATGTCAGATTTTATTGAGATCGAGAGACCTGATGTTCTATTATTAAATAGCACATACATTACGAACTCACATAAAGTCAAACATTATGGCTACTCTTACCAGTCACCTGATGAAGCACATGAAGCACATGAATGTTGCAATACTCACACGTTCTTCATACAAACACGAACTTTTACACACTCATTGGCTTCACAGACACTTTCTAGCCATAAACGTCCACACACAAATGGGTTCTCTCATCATCTGCACCACCTGCATCCGTCCTAACACTGGCATTCCCATGCAAACATCACAGCTCTCTTCAACCACACTCACCTGCCTGTTTTCCTGCTTGCAGACCTCAATTCTACCACAATACCACAAATCAGCATGGCCAACAGCTTCACCAAATATACATCCAAAAACATTTATTCTTCCTTGGCCCCGACTTCCCCACTTCTTTCAGTCATACAGGTTCTGGCAGACCTGATCTTATATTCACCAACAGACATGGCAACAACCTACAACACTACATTTCATCAGGACCCATTACGGGCTCTGCTCATATTCCCTTAATTCTCATAGTCTCCAGCAATCCCATTCTCATTCCCAGCACTCCTCAATTCTCATACCATAGGGTAAATTGGGACATGTTCAAACAACATATTGATAACATTGATCTCACTTATGAATACAATGACAAACATCACACTGACATTGACACACAAGCACTCAACATATAATACACCATCATCCATGCTGCAAACATTTCCATTCCTAAAACAACACACAAACCATAGTTCTCTTTCACCCCTTCCATTCGCACCAAACGCCTCTTAGCTTCCTATCATTCTCGATTCCTACATAACTTACATCGCTATGGACAAGTACTCTGGGACTTTACAACATTAAAAAAAACCACATCCTCAACAGCCTAGACGAAGACCACACAAAACATTGGAAACACTTCATAGAACAAGCAGAACAAGCATGGAAAACTGACACCTCAGGAATTTTGGAAACAAATCAAATGCTTACAAGGATTAACTCACACACCATTTAAATACCTCCTACAGAACAACAACAAAATCACTGAACCTGATGAAGTGCTTAACATTTTTAAACACCACTGGGAACGCATTTTTCTTCCTCATCCTCCTGAACCAACTACCCTTCCCAACATTGAAGTAGTTGAAAACTGGGTACACCAAAAACAGACATGAAACCACACCTGACGACCTCATCCACCTTGACAACTTCAACTCTGGCACTGAACTACAGACTCCCCTGACTCCAGCTGGTGTCAAGACAGCTCTCATGGGCACTCGTCGCAGAGTCCCTGGTGCGTCTGGCATTGGACATACTCTCCTTAGACAACTCCCCGTTTCTATCTATGCTGCTATCACTAACTTATTCAACGCCTCCTTTGCCTCTGGATATTTCCCTCTCACCTTTAAATCTGCCACTGCTGTTCTTATTCCAAAACCTGGGAAACTTCACACTGACTCAAAGAACTATAGACCCATCAGCCTTCTAGAGACACTTGGCAAAGTCTTTGAAATTCAAGGCTGGTCAACATGAGACTTAGAACCCACCTAGAAGACAATGACTTACTAATAAACAGTTTGGATTCCGGCCTCACCAGGCCACACATGACGCTTTAAACATCATGAACAATTACATCACCATCAATCAGCACCAAAGACTTAGGACTGCACTAATCACCAAGGACGTTGAAAAGGCCTTTGACACTGTTTGGCATGACGGCCTAAAATTTAAACTATGTAAAACTTTAATCTTTCCCTCATCACCACTAAGCTTCTTTCTAACTACATAAACAATAGGACTGTGAGGATTAAATTCCTCCGACAACACTCTGACTACGTCAACTTACACGCTGGTGTTCCCCGAGGCTCTATTCTTGCCCCGACACTCTATATCCTATACATCAACGACATTCCTGACCTGTTCATCACAATTCATTAACCATATGTTACGCTGATGATGTCTCTCACCTTGTCACCAGCAGCACCATTGACATACTATCACGCAGAGCACAAGCAGAACTCCATACTGTCACAGAATGGGAGTATGACTGGCGCATTAAAACCAACTCCAACAAATAAAAAATCATATACTTTTTTTGTAAAAGAACTATATGCCCTATTCGTGTTCAACTCTATTCACTCTCTCTCTCCCAATCCCACTAACATCTCTGTATCTCCTTCCATCACAGTTCTTGGCCTCACACTTGATCGACAACTTCGGTTTCTGCCCGAAACGCTTTGCGTAATAGTGGCTTTAGGCATTGTATGTACTAGCTCTATCTATAAAGCCAACAAACTTTGTAAAATCTCTTTATGTATGTACCTTTGCCTAAATAAAAATTATTATTATTATTATTATTATTAACTACGCTTTCACACACACATTGCACAGAAACATGCAATAGCTCACCAGGTCATGAACAAATTGAACAGACTTAGATTTGCAAAACCTGACACTAAAATGTACCTCTACAAAGCACTCATTAGACCTCTCCTAACGTATGCTCCAATTGCTCTCTCCTTATCCGCACCCACTAATAAACTAAAACTTCAAAGAATAAAGCACTTAGATGGGTACTTAACACTCGATGAGACGAATTCAATACCAGCGAAAGTCTTCATGAAAGTACCAATGGCCTCAATGTCTACTGGAAAACTTTATTAGACAAACAACTTGCCAGACTACTCTCTTATCACGAACAACACATTGATTTTCTCTTACACACTCTTAGACTACCACGAAACACCCACGATCTCTTCTCTACCATCCATGATCCTCCTCCTAGCTCTGTATTTAGTTAAACTTTAGCTCTTAACACCTAGCATCCACCATCTATAAATATACAGCTCTCAACACCCAGCACAAACCATCCGTAAACGTTCAGCCCTGACACTTTTGAGCCAATCACTGCGATGGTGTGAGTTTTGTGATATCCCTGTTGTTGCCCCTGAAACACCCGACTGAGTACTTGCCTCAAATACCGCAACCTAACGCCACGCAGCTGGGTTTAGCCCTGGCACTTTTTCTCCTACAAATCTACTTCCACTCACCCCCTTTATCCTTCCACTCACCCCCTTTATCCTTCCACTCACCCCCTTTATCCTTCCACTCACCCCCTTTATCCTTCCACTCACCCCCCTTTATCCTTCCACTCACCCCCTTTATCCTTCCACTCACCCCCCTTTATCCTTCCACTCACCCCCTTTATCCTTCCACTCACCCCCTTTATCCTTCCACTCACCCCCCTTTATCCTTCTACTCACCCCCTTTATCCTTCCACTCACCCCCTTTATCCTTCCACTCATCCCCTTTATCCTTCCACTCACCCCTTTATCCTTCCACTCACCCCCTTTATCCTTCCACTCACCCCCGTTATCCTTCCACTCACCCCCTTTATCCTTCCACTCACCCCCTTATCCTTCCACTCACCCCCTTTATCCTTCCACTCACCCCCTTTATCCTTCCACTCACCCCCTTTATCCTTCTTCTGTCCCCACTTCCAAGCTCGCCCTTCGGGGTGTCTTATCCTGTATATATTCGTTTTCGTATTCGTACTAACCGGCGTATTTCCTTCCCTTGTGTGGAAGGCGGTAGGCTGCGTGGGCGTGTTGTGCGGCGCGGCGTGCCCATCGCCTAATGCATCCTCCCGGTTTCTGGAACAAAATTTTGAAGTAACACGGGCTATTGTGAGCCCATAGTGAACTTACCTGGCACAGGAGCGGGGCTGTATGTCAGTATGGGAATGGGCCAATAGGCCTCCTGCAGCTGCCTTCATTTTTATGTTCTTATGAGTTTTGTTTTCTTATTTGTCCAGGGACTTGTTAAATGCGCCATGAGTCTCGATAGCCATGGGCGTGGGTCGGGATGGAGCGTGGGATGGGCGTGGGTCGGGATGGAGCGTGGGATGGCCGTGGGACGGGATGGAGCGTGGGATGGCCGTGGGACGGGATGGAGCGTGGGATGGGCGTGGGACGGGATGGAGCGTGGGATGGGCGTGGGACGGGATGGAGCGTGGGATGGGCGTGGGTCGGGATGGAGCGTGGGATGGCCGTGGGACGGGATGGAGCGTGGGATGGGCGTGGGTCGGGATGGAGCGTGGGATGGCCGTGGGACGGGATGGAGCGTGGGATGGGCGTGGGTCGGGATGGAGCGTGGGATGGGCGTGGGTCGGGATGGAGCGTGGGATGGCCGTGGGACAGGATGGAGCGTGGGATGGGCGTGGGTCGGGATGGAGCGTGGGTCGGGATGGAGCGTGGGATGGGCGTGGGTCGGGATGGAGCGTGGGACGGGATGGAGCGTGGGATGGGCGTGGGTCGGGATGGAGCGTGGGATGGCCGTAGGACGGGATGGAGCGTGGGATGGGCGTGGGTCGGGATGGAGTGTGGGATGGGCGTGGGTCGGGATGGAGCGTGGGATGGCCGTGGGACGGGATGGAGCGTGGGATGGGCGTGGGTCGGGATGGAGCGTGGGATGGCCGTGGGACGGGATGGAGCGTGGGATGGCGTGGGTCGGGATGGAGCGTGGGATGGCCGTGGGACGGGATGGAGCGTGGGATGGGCGTGGGTCGGGATGGAGCGTGGGATGGGCGTGGGTCGGGATGGAGCGTGGGATGGCCGTGGGACGGGATGGAGCGTGGGATGGGCGTGGGTCGGGATGGAGCGTGGGATGGGCGTGGGTCGGGATGGAGCGTGGGATGGGCGTGGGTCGGGATGGAGCGTGGGATGGGCGTGGGTCGCGGTGTGCTCCTCACAGGTAGGTAAGCGTCGATATTGCACCACAATATCGATGCTTCTCTGGCTCTGCCCACCTCCCGGCGCCTCACGTCTCTCACCCAATTATTTATTTATATACAAAAACGTCCATTGGGTTGCGAGAATACATAATATTGGTCTTACAATCTTGCAAAGCCGTTAATACGCGTAGTGTTTCATAATAATTTATAAAAATTATGATCAATACTAATATTATGTTTCATAATAATAGTATTGATCAAACCAGTGAAGTTGGATGAGTTAGGTAGTACGGTTGAGGGAGTGGGTAGCACAAGCGCCAGTGTGACTCACCAAATTATGGATGAGCTGGTAGAGGTGTATGGTGATGGGGCAGCTCGTCGCCTCCTAGCTGCTCCTCTCCGAGCCCCATCACCACCCCCATCACCGCCATCATCACCGCCCCCCTCACCACCACCCCTCCCTCACCACCACCCTTCCCTCACCACCACCCCCATCACCGCCATCATCACCGCCCCCTCACCACCACCCCTCCCTCACCACCACCCCCATCACCACCACCCCCATCACCATCACAGCCATCACTATCTCAGCCATTGTTACGAACACTTATCTCCAGTTGAAGGAATAACTGACTCGTAACTTTCTATAGAAAAGATTGATAAAGATTAAGCCACCCAAGAGGTGGCACGGGCATGAATAGCCCGTAAGTGGTAAACAATTTTGTTCAGTAATTCTTTTCAGTATTCTGAGGTTGCATTTAATCGTCAAGCTGTTATCGCGGGAGAGGATACTGCTTGACAGTCTTTATGAGGGTGTCCAGCTGCTGGACACCTTTTTTGACCAGAAGAGTGGCTGTGTTGATGGCTTCAGGGTGGTTACTGCAAGATTCAGGGACTCTTAAAGCTCTTCTAAGGTCGTTGGTTGCTTCACATTCCAGAAGATAGTGAAGTAATGGCTTTTCTGTGACAGTTTGGCAGAAGATGCATTCTCTCTGTCGGGGTTCACCAATCTCCCAGTTGCATCTGTAACCTAGACGTAGTCTATATAACCTAACTGCTATTTCCCTGTGGATTCCTTTTGGGATATTTAACCTTTCTAATTTGGTTGCCTGAAGATACCATATTGCAGAGGGCGAACCTTCAGCTACTCTCTGGTGTAGATAGGCTTTGTTGAGGTGTGAGAGTTTTTTGGTGATGATTTTTTTATGTTCTCTAGGCTGGGTTGAATTGTTTTATGTATCACTGGATGACGAGTTGCCAATTTAGCAATTTCATCGGCTTTCTCATTTAATGGGATTCCAACATGGGATGGGATCCAGTTTAAGGTTATGTTGAGTCCTTTGCCTTTAGCGACTGCTCTAAGATACAAAATGGTGGTAATTATTTCCACGTTATCTTTCCACTGTTTTTGTCCTAATATTTGAAGTGCAGCTTTTGAGTCTGTGTGTATGATTGCATTTTGAGTGTTTTGTGCAATCACATATGCGAATGTCTGTTGTATGGCAAACAGCTCAGTTTGGGTTGATGATACTAGTCCTCCCAGTCTCCAGTACGCCTGTACGCTGGTCGTGCAAAGAGCAGCGCCAACACTCTCATATTCTGTGTCCACCGATCCGTCTGTGAAGATGTGGGTGGCTCCTGCTACTGCAATGCTATACATTTGCTCTTCTATTATGCGCCTTAGGATTGTCGGATCATAGGCAGCCTTTTTCATTGGGAGACTTTCTATTACTATTTTGAAAGTAGTCTCTTCCCACGGTGCGGAAGAAGTGCAATTTGGGTGTGGTTGATCACCCTCTCTATCAAGAGTCATGCTTTTTAAATGTAGTCTGTTTAGGACTTTTCCTGCTTTTGCAACCCAAGAGTTTCCATTGTTTTGGCCTAGTCCAACCACCAAGGCCTGCCATACTGGGATTGGATCAGGAGAAATAATTATCTTACTGATAATTGTAGCTGTTCTTTGTGATATTCTTTCTTGAAAAGAGGGCAAACCCGTCTCCAGTCTAAGAGTTTCAAGCCTGGTCCACTTGGGGGCTCCCAGTGCGGCTCTCATTGCATTGTTTTGGGCAACTTCAAGCTTTTTCCACTGTTGGTGTGATAGACTTGAGTGAAGGTGCGGCATAATCGATCACTGATCTGACTGCCTGTACATAGTATGTGCGAGGGACTTGCAGATTGGCTCCTCCAGAGAGGGAGGTTAGCGACCTGAGGATTGCCGTCCGGGCCGCTGTTCGATCTCTCAAGTAAGTGACCTCAGCATTAAAATTCCTGTGTGTCCAGGATTATTCCAAGATACTGATAGGTGTCCACCCATTCAATTAGTTGACCCTGTACTGTGAGTTGGATGTTGGGCTTTGCTATTTTTATGGGCATGGCCTTTGACTTTGAGGGGTTGAGTTTGATACTAATCTGATTAGCCTCTTTACTGATGCAGTCTAAGCATTTGGGTGCAAGGCGCGCCGCATCCCTTCCTTTTATGATGATAACAAAGTCGTCCGCGTAGTTTAGCAGCCTGCAGTGATGTGAAAGTTTCAACCTCATTATTCTTTCCATTAAACAGTTGAAGAGAAGAGGGCTGAGAATACCTCCTTGCGGTGTACCATTTTCATGTCTTTTGTACTCAGAGACTGTGCCATGAAGTTTTACTCTTGCTTCTCTGTTTATGCAGCCCGTCATCCAAAAATGGGGTGGTAAATGTAAGAAGACAAATAAGTGCAATTATGTACTATTCATAGCAGTTAGGAATTGTACTTATTTTCACTTAGTATTAAATCGTACTGTCAAATATATTGTGAATATTTGTGTTTACCTGAAAAATTGAATAGAAAACCACAACCTCACTTAACCGTCTTAGTTTTTAAAGATAATAATTTTATTGCTTCTTAATTACAATTACTACTTAACCTATAGCTATCTTGATATTACAGTTTTATAAAACTAGTAAAACAAAGCTAAAATATATCAATACATTGTAAAATAACTCAGGATATTTTAAAATTTTGTATAAAATCTATATTGTTTAATAAACAAGAACAAGAAATTTTTGATATTTAAAACTTGTGTATTACAAATGGAAATTGAAAACTTCATCCTAAAATTCTGAGTTTCTTAACAGAAAACGAGGTGAATTCAATGGGGGGAGGGAGTTGGGTAAATATAACAGCCCCATAAGTGCGATTCACAGTACGATTTAATACTAAGTGTAATAAGTACACTTTCTCACTGTCATAAACAGTGCATAATCGCACGTAATTATTCCCTTGCAAAAGAAAAAAAGTATGTATGAGATAGGAGAGCTGAGGGCAACATATGATTGTATAATTAGAAAATTACCTACAAAAAACACTCTACATGTATATTGTGATGGGTCAGTCAGTAGCTAGGGATGGGAAGGCAGGATGTGGAGTCTTGATCAGGGAGTACACTGACATCGGCACTGTAGATACTGTTATTGGACGCCGCTTAACTGGCAATGTCTCTTCAACGCAGGCTGAACTCCAAGGTGTATTAGCAGGATTACAGGAAGTAGTCAAATGTGGTAAAAATGCTTGCTTCTTTATTGACAGCAGAGGAGCGTTAGGGTCTTTAAATAGCAGACGCCCAGTATACCAGAATATTGTGATAAGAGTGTAGAGAGAATGTTAAGAAATTAGAAAAAACGGTATAAAGTAAGCGTCATGTGGATCCCTTCACATGTGGGAATACTGTTGAATGAGATAGCGAAAAGAGCCACGGAAAAAACTCTTGTTGATGTTGTATGTCAGTTAACTAAAACAAATAAAAACAAGAATCAAGATGATCCAAGAGGGTGAAGAAATGGTTAAGAGAATGGCAATGGTGGACAGTAGTAACACTTAAGAATTATTAAATAATAAATACAAATTCGTCCTTCACCTATGGTAGAGGAAAGTCTACTTGGAAGGATTCAAGTTACATGAGATTAAGATTAGGATACAAATATATCTGGCAATACGGTGTTGATGTTAGTGAAAAAGATAAGGAGTGTAAATTATGTAGTATGCCGTACGCCCACACCTTAGAACATTATGTATTAGAGTGTCAACTTATTGAAAACTATAGAAATAAAAAAATAAGTAGTGTACCACATTAAATTGTTTGGATGTGTGATAATGGTATAATAGACAGGATACTTAGGAGCTACAAGAATTTTGCCCCAAGAGTGTAACACTTATATGTTGAGCTTCCTATAGTAACCTGCAATAATAAATGTGATTCTTGCATTGTGATTTGTGTATTTGTACTCACTGACTTTGTGCGCCCCTTGAGGGACTTAAAGTAGAGGGGGGGGGGGGGTAGAAATAGCCTAAGCTACTCTATCCCTTTGAGATGTATTTTTTCTTGTCTCAATAAAAATACTTGAACTTGATGGGTATGGGGTGCACAACCGCCGACAGGGTGGGGTATGGGGTGCACTACCGCCAACAGGGTGGGTATGGGGTGCACTAGTACGCACAGGATGGGTATGGGGTGCACTAGTACGCACAGGATGGGTATGGGGTGCACTACCACGCACAGGATGGGTATGGGGTGCACAACCGCCCATAGGATGGGGTATGGGGTGCACAACCGCCCACAGGGTGGGGTATGGGGTGCACAACCACGCACAGGATGGGTAACATAAGAACATAAGAACAAAGGTAACTGCAGATGGCCTATTGGTCCATACGAGGCAGCTCCTATCTATAACCGCCCAATCCCACTCATATACTTGTCCAACCCGCGCTTGAAACAATCGAGGAACCCCACATCCACCACGTTACGCGGCAATTGGTTTCACAAATCAACAACCCTGTTACTGAACCAATATTCACCCAAGTCTGTCCTAAATCGAAACTTATCCAATTTATACCCATTGTTTCGTGTTCTGTCTTGTGTTGATACTTTTAATACCCTATTAATATCCCATTTGTTATGTCCATTCACCCACTTGTAAACCTCTATCATGTCACCCCTAACTCTTCGCCTTTCCAGTGAATGTAACTTTAGCTTTGTTAATCTTTCTTCATATGAAAGATTTCTAATTTGGGGAATTAACTTAGTCATCCTACACTGGACACGTTCAAGTGAATTTATATCCATTCTATAATATGGCGACCAAAACTGAACTGCATAATCTAAATGGGGCCTAACTAGAGCAAGATATAGCTTGAGAACCACACCAGGTGTCTTGTTACTAACGCTGCGATTAATAAATCCAAGTGTCCGATTTGCCTTATTACGAACATTCATGCATTGATCCTTTTGTTTTAAATTCTTACTAATCATAACTCCCAGATCCCTTTCGCAATTCGACTTCGCAATCTCAACGCCATCTAGCTCGTATCTTGTAACCCTATCATCATTACCTAACCTCAGAACTTTACATTTATCAGCATTAAACTGCATCTGCCAATCCTTCGACCATTTCAAAACCCTATCTAGATCAACTTGAAGTGATAGTGAGTCCTCCTCCGAATTAATTTCCTTACCGATTTTCGTATCATCGGCAAATTTGCAAATGTTGCTACTCAAACCTGAGTCTAAATCATTTATATATATTATAAACAACAGAGGTCCCAGGACAGAGCCCTGAGGCACCCCACTTACAACATTTTCCCACTCTGACTTGACTCCATTTATACTAACTCTCTGTTTCCTTTGGTATAGCCATGCCCTAATCCAGCTTAATATAGCACCCCCAATACCATGAGACTCTATCTTTTTAATCAGTCTTTCATCTTGCTCTAGTTAGGCCCCATTTAGATTATGCAGTTCAGTTTTGGTCGCCATATTATAGAATGGATATAAATTCACTTGAACGTGTCCAGCGTAGGATGACTAAGTTAATTCCCCAAATTAGAAATCTTTCATATGAAGAAAGATTAACAAAGCTTAAGTTGCATTCACTGGAAAGGCGAAGAGTTAGGGGTGACATGATAGAGGTTTACAAGTGGATGAATGGACATAACCGGGGGGATATTAATAGGGTATTAAAAGTATCAACACAGGACAGAACACGAAACAATGGATATAAATTGGATAAGTTTAGATTTAGGAAAGACTTGGGTAAATACTGGTTCAGTAACAGGGTTGTTGATTTGTGGAACCAATTGCCGCGTAACATTGTGGAGGTGGGGTCCCTCGATTGTTTCAAGCACGGGTTGGACAAGTATATGAGTGGGATTGGGTGGTTATAGAATAGGAGCTGCCTCGTATGGGCCAATAGGCCTTCTGCAGTTACCTTTGTTCTTATGTTCTTATGTGGCACTGTATCAAAAGCTTTGCTAAAGTCAAGGTACACAACATCGCAATCCTTACCACTATCAACTGCCTCAACAATGCTAGAATAAAAAGATAACAAATTTGTTAAACATGAACGGCCATTTATAAAACCATGTTGCGACTCAATTATTAATTTATGTTTTTCAAGATGAAGACGAATTTTATTTGCTATTATAGATTCGAGTAACTTTCCCACAATAGACGTTAGGCTAATTGGTCGATAGTTAGACGCAAGTGATCTATCTCCTTTCTTAAAAACTGGTATCACATTAGCAACTTTCCAAAACTCTGGCACTCTGCCTGACTCTATTGATTTATTAAATATGGTTGACAGTGGGTCACAAAGCTCCTCTTTGCATTCTTTAAGCACCCTGGCAAACACTTCATCCGGCCCTGGGGATTTGTTTGGTTTGAGTTTTACTATTTGTTTAAGAACATCCTCCCTGGTAACTGTTAAACTCGTCAACCTGTCCTCGTCCCCACCCACATAGACTTGTTCGGCTGAAGGCATATTCCTCTTTAGTAAATACAGATACAAAATATTTATTAAAAATACTACTCATCTCTTCATCACTATCTGTTATTTGACCTGTCTCACTTTTTAATGGACCTATCCTTTCCCTAGTCTTAGTACGATATAACTGAAAAAACCCTTTAGGATTTGTCTTTGCTTGCCCTGCTATGCGAACTTCATAGTTTCTTTTTGCTTTCCTTATATCTTTTTTAACATTTCTAACCAGTTGTACGAATTCCTGTTCTAAAGTGACCTCCCCATTTTTAATCCTTTTGTACCAAGCTCTCTTTTTACCTATAAGGTTCTTCAAATTCTTTGTTATCCACTTTGGGTCATTAGTATTCGATCTATTCAATTTGTATGGTATACTACGTTCCTGTGCTTTGTTTAGAATATTCTTAAATAAGTTATATATTGAATCCACATCGAAATCCCCATTTACGTCACCTATCGCTGGGTTCATGTCTCGCTCCAAGACCGGCCCCCACCCCATACCCAAAACTTTCCAATCAATTTGACCCAAAAAAAATTCTTAGGCTATTAAAATCAGCTTTTCGAAAATCTGGCACTTAAACAGAATTTTCTCCTACAGGTCTATTCCATTCTATGCTAAATCTGATTTCTTTGTGATCACTGTTCCCTAGCTCACTCCCTATTTCGATGTCAATAATTTGTGTTTCCCTGTTAGTTAACACTAAATCTAAAATATTATTTTCCCGTGTTGGTTCCTTAATGTGTTGCGTAAGAAAGGAATCGTCAATTAATTCTAGAAAATCTTCTGCTTCACTATTCCCTGTTTTGTTCAACCAGTTTATTCCACTAAAATTAAAGTCACCCATGACGTAAATACTGGGGTGCACAACCACGCACAGGATGGGTATGGGGTACACTAGCCTAGAACTATAACAAACTCTGGCCCTAGACAGCACTCGGCTCCCTTACTTAAATCTCTGAATACGTTATAATAATAATAATAATAATTTTTATTTAGGCAAAGGTACATACATAAAGAGATTTTACAAAGTTTGTTGGCTTTATAGATAGAGCTAGTACATACAATGTCTAAAGCCACTATTACGCAAAGCGTTTCGGGCAGAATATTAAGTTAGATATTAAGTTACTACACACCCTCACATGTGTACTCTATATAGATAAAACTCTGAACTGTAATGCCAATCCTGGCTTTGAACGCTTCCTAGAAGGTTGTAATAGAACCCATGGGCACCACACCAGAAACAAATACCTATTTGATATTCCAAGAGTGTGCCTTAACCAAACTAGAAATGCTCTGCAAATCAAGGGACCCAGAATGTGGAATGACCTTCCCAATCATGTCAAAGACTGTACCTCTCTCAACCAGTTTAAGAGAAAAACTAAGTACTACCTAATAAACTCCATGTAATCTACCTTACTCCCTAAATGTCAACCCATGTCTTGATATTTTCAAACAATATTAATTAGTGACCAACTTGTTTAACTGATGATATCTGCCATGTATAAACTTAAAGGACAAAATTGTAATCTGTTTATTTTGTTAAAATTCCTTCTGATGTTTTGTTGCATTTTCTGCTGTTCCATCCATCATGTAATTATCATTCTCCTTTTCTTTTTGTCCATAAATTCAATTTATGCCTTTGATCTCAATTAGTATTAAGTTTTATGCTAAGTTTTTTTCCCCCACATTTTGCCCGAAACGCTGTGCATATTAGTGGCTTTAGGTTCATTTTTAGTATGAACTAGCTCTATCTATAAATCCAACATATTGTTTATAACTCATGTTCAATGTATGTACCTTTACCTGAATAAACAACGTATCTTATCTTATCTAGCACGCACATGATGAGTATAGGGTGCACTACCGCCAACAGGATGGGTATGGGGTGCACAATAGCCAACAGGATGGGTATGGGGTGCACAATAGCCAACAGGATGGGTATGGGGTGCACATTAGCCAACAGGATGGGTATGGGGTGCACAATAGCCAACAGGATGGGTATGGGGTGCACAATAGCCAACAGGATGGGTATGGGGTGCACAATAGCCAACAGGATGGGTATGGGATGCACAATAGCCAACAGGATGGGTATGGGGTGCACAATAGCCAACAGGATGGGTATGGGATGCACAATAGCCAACAGGATGGGTATGGGGTGCACAATAGCCAACAGGATGGGTATGGGATGCACAATAGCCAACAGGATGGGTATGGGGTGCACAATAGCCAACAGGATGGGTATGGGGTGCACAATAGCCAACAGGATGGGTATGGGGTGCACAATAGCCAACAGGATGGGTATGGGGTGCACAATAGCCAACAGGATGGGTATGGGGTGCACAATAGCCAACAGGATGGGTATGGGGTGCACAATAGCCAACAGGATGGGTATGGGGTGCACAATAGCCAACAGGATGGGTATGGGGTGCACAATAGCCAACAGGATGGGTATGGGGTGCACATTAGCCAACAGGATGGGTATGGGGTGCACAATAGCCAACAGGATGGGTATGGGGTGCATAATAAATGAACTGTAACTATTGTATTGACCAGCTGCACATGAGGTTTATGCAATACATTTTGTATTGTGTAAGAATTGTTGGAATAGATCGAGCTATTAGATCAATAGCTCGATCAAATAGGAATAGATCAAATATGAGCTAGTGCTCTTTAAATGGGTAATTGAGATCTAGATTTGGTGAATGATGTAATTTTATACTCATTCCGCCCCAATTTATTTTAAATCAAAAGAACTCTGTATGTTAATTTGTGGTTGCATTGATTACAAAATGACGCTCGTTTCTACCATCAGTAATGACAATGAAATATGGGAAACCATCGAAATAAAAGCCTTTATTTTTAATATATTAATGGGTAGGAGTGTCTTTAGTATTTTAGTATAGACAAGGATGTTTAAGGTACATTTGTTCACGCGTAGCCGGCCATGAAATAGCTAGCGTGACGGAATGTATATTTAAATTTACCGCTTGGAGCGTCCCCAGTAATTCATGGTCAAGGATATTCGCCTTTGCATCCTTGTTACTAACTATTATTGCTGGGCTCTCTTACTGCCGTGTATCCCTTAAAGGCTATTTTATCTGTAATCTATAAACATTTAGTAATCTTTTTTACTAAGAAGTTATCTATTATTAGATAAGGATAGCAGAAAAAATGGAACGAGTAAACCCAGTGGTGAGTTCAAGCGCCATTTTCCTATTTGTTTGGAGCACTTCGTCATTGGTTCCAACACGATATGCAAAGTGAAAATAGTTTTTGCCACATTTAATAAATACGATGCAATCTGTTAGATTTAAAAATTAATTTAGATCCACATTAATAAGAAACAAAGCAAATATTGCCAAATTATACTTTGAAAACAGCGAAAATAAGAGAAAGAGGAGTTAGTATTGGTCGTTTTAGAAGACTGGTGAAGACAGTGGAGCAGCAGTTGACAAGTCTTGGTGAATGAAGCTCTCCACCGGTACCCAATGTAATTCCCTCTAGGAATTGTGAACTGGGGTGGTTTGTAAACTGGCCTACAAGTTTGTCGTTGGTTGTGGAACCCTCGCGTCTATATGTATGTGCGGTTGCCCCTGGTGACGGGGGTGGTGGCAAGCTGCAGACATTGGGCGCATAGCGAGCAAGCACGCTCTCAAAGTTCCCGTGTCTGGCAAGAACGGGTGTGCTGGTAGTCGTGATCGCGGCGGCCGTCGAGCCAATAAGGGTTCTGGAGGAGGAGGAGGGGCAGGAGGAGGAGGAGGACCCCGTGCCGACCTGGTAGGCCCGCCAGCCTCCAACCCCCCACCAGCACCACCCATCATGAACCACGTCACAGAGCCCCCCACCCCTGACAAGGACCTCGAGCTAATGGACACTCAGGAAGGTATGTCATTACACTCTACATCATCCTCGTATACTGTAGGAATTTTTGGAGCACACTTCTTTAGGACACAGCACTTCTTTGGCACTTCTACGTAAAGTTTTTGGCTTTTCGCTGTGGTGTTATTGTAGCCTTCGGTGTTATGTTTATTTTAATCGGTATCTCCAGCCACCTGGAGTTGTGGGTACAGCGACAGCCTTACTTCGTGCAAGTTGGCTTTTGATTCCCGACGGTCCGAGTAGTTTGACTTCCCTCCGTCTTGCTCTATATTCCTGTTCAGATATCTTCCGAGTGCTATATAGTCGTACTGCCTTAGCGTTTTATCCTAATAATTGCCTTACCTCTAATTGGAATCTGGTCAACTTGTGTTAATTAAAAGATTTAGCATAAACTGGCAATGTTGTGTGTGCCCATATCCAACATGTCCACGGTCCTTAGTTTTGCGTAAATTCTCTTGGTTTGTTTATATTTGTTTGTAACAATTTGGAGGATGTTGATCTAGACAAATTCTTCAAAGGGTCAGATGTAACACAAACACGGAGCAACGGTTTTAAGCTCAACAAGCCACAATGTTGGACTGAGAAGAGGTGATGCTTTTTCACCCCCAGGGTTGTTAACCTATAGAAACACCTACCCACTGAAGTGTAAACTTCTCAACTTTAAAACCCAAATTGAAAAAGCATCAGGACAAATGGGGGACTTTTGACAAGCCACTGGCTTTCTGTCCTCGTTGCGGCCACTAGAGTGTTTGTAGCTCTCGGTTAAAATCCCGTGTAAATGTTATCGTATATGCCCGAGTTAAGTATATACTAACCAGTCACTATTGTATAAAAATGTTATATGACTTAAAAGTAATATTCATAGACAATAAAGCTTTTAACCTACTGAAACTTGGCAAAATTTAAGCTTATGATTGTTCATAATCATATTGGGAAATGTGCTTTGCTCTCTTGACGTAGAGTGAGAATTATCCAAATAATAAAACCTTTCCGAGGATTGAAGATACATTAGATACAAGACTATGGGTGCACAGGTACTTGAATACATAGCTATGAGGCACTGCTTTACTCGGAAACATGGCTGCGGGACATTACTCTACTCGGATTCATGACTATGGGACACTTTTGAATTGTTATATTATACTGTATTCTATTATATTATATTATATTATACTGCTTATATAATAATAATAATAATAATTTATTATAAGCATGTACATATTAAGAATATAAGATGAAAGGACAATTGTAGGTACAGTACATGTTACAAATAAGTGTGAAGCCACTACTACACTAAGCATTTCGGGCAAAACTTTGAGCAATTTACGTAAAAGATTATAGGTATAATGGGACAAACAATACTAAAAGCGAAGTACTGTAAGTTAACATGTGTGAGAATACCTGGAGCTTACCTGGGGAGGGTTCTGGGAGTTGTTCTACTCTCCGATTCCAGCCTGAGGCCAGGCTAGACTTGTGATAACTTGGTCCAGCAGGCTGTTGCTTGGAGTGGCCTGCAGGCCCACATTTTCATTACAGCCTGGTTGTTCTGGCACTTGCAAAAACTCATCTAAGGGCCTCTTGAATACAGCCACCTTTATTCCGGCAATATTTCTAATGCTTGCTGGGAGGGTATTGAACAGCCGTGGACCTTTGATGTTCAGTGTTCTTTGATTGTGCCTACAGCATCTCTACTCATCACTGGTTTTATTCTGCATTTCCTTCTGTACCTTTTCCTCCAGTATGTTATTCCACTGTGCAAATTTGGGACCTGGCCTTCAAGTATCTTCCAAGTACAGCATATGTTACGTATTTGATTTCTTTCTCGTCTCCTTTCCAAGGAGTACATTTTGAGAGCTTTAAGATGGTCCCAATAATTTAGATGTTTATCGTTTCTCTGCATACCTTATATGTTCTCTGTATTCCCTCTAATTCAGAGATCTCTCCTGCTCTGAAAGGTGAAGTGAGTACCGAGTAATACTCAGGATGGGACAGCACCAGTGATTTAAATAGTATTACCTTTGCTGTGGGGTCTCTGGATTTGAACGTTCTCATAATCCATCCTCTCATTTTCCTGGCCGCTGCTGTATTTGATCGGTTATGTTCACTAAATGTTTTCGTCAGACATCATAATTAGCAGATCTTTTACATGTTGCTTTTCTTTTATGAGTAGTAGGTCTGATTGTGTCATGTACCCTGTGTTTTATTACACAGAAATATAAATAAGAAATATAAAAGTAAATAAATAAGAAATATAAATGATATGCAATATAGTTAAAAAAGGTGGTACTTACTGATGACAAACATTGACTATTACACTGTAATCTGCAGTCCTAGCAACAGAACAGAAGTGGTTTTTAACATTAATAAAAGTAAGGAAATAAACAGGTGCAAAGTTACAACAACTTTAGCAAAGCTACTAGGACATAACAGAGTAAATTAGTAAAATGTAAAGATTTAATGGGGTAAACACTTGAAAAGTATGATAATATATATGACTTGAGTAACCAATTTTGCAATAATAGATACATTTAGATGATACTTAATGAAGAAAGGCCTACTTTTTAGTAAATAAAATTTAAGTTAAGTGGCCCCCCTCTGCCTCACTGCGGCTCTGTAGGGAATGTTGGCCGAGTTTCCTTAGCCTCTTGTATGGGTCGTCCAAAGTGCCAGGAGTTAGTCTAGTCCTCTCATGTCAAATTTTCACAATGAAATTGATGTCCACTCTGTTATACAATTATCAGAATTGAATGGCACAGTGTTTTAAGTGGGGAATCACTAGGGCAAAAATATAATTGGAGGCCTATGGTTGTCCATTTGTTGCTTCTGGTTATAAACCCAAATGCTGTATTCTAGTTTGCTACATGTGTTGATATATTGATACTGTGAATGGGTGGAGCTGTCGGCCAGGGGAACAGTGGTAAAGTGTTTTAATGAACAGTGACATTTGAATTAGTGAACATATTTTAGACTGTTGGGAAGGAAATTTTGTATTTTATAATTTTACCTATGACAACAGCTGGAAGAGATCTGTTTTACCTATCACTAACCATCAGAGTACCCAAACCAACATGAAGTGATTTAAACATCCCACCTGTTTCTGTATTTCAGGGGGATGCAAAATACCATACATAATGAATTATTTATTCCAATGAGGCATATTACAGTACATGATACAGTATATACTTGTGACGATGACTTCATTTAAGGGATCGTTTCATTGCAACGAGTAGTATTTCTTGGTACAAATATTAATCAAATTCCATTTTTATATTAGTTTAGTGTTGACATTATTCTAAGATTAATTGCTGTCTTCAAGCATGATTGTGAGTTAGTGTGTATATAATTAATTAGGCCCATGTCAGTACCTTTTGGTTTTCTTATACAGTGTAGTGTACACAAATTTATTTATGAATTGTATCTTACAAAAGAACGTCGACTAGATGCTTACAGTAAGGGAGAGATATGGTAGACAGCTAAATTAGAATCATCTTTAATCAACGAAGCATTAGTAAGACTTATTGTAAATACAGTTAAAGTTGGTACAGTACAGTATTACAAAATGCATTACAACTGGCTTGCTGCATTAAATTAATGTCAGTCCATTGTAAATAAGGTTGGTTTAATTTGGATTCACTTTAATATTGATTATGGTCTTTGCCTTCAGCTCTATAAATGTAAAAAAATAAATGTAAACAAATTAATTAAAAAACCCAGCACATCACTTCTGAGGCGACAGTAAAAACTCAATAGATTATACAGTCCCATATACCAAACAAATGTACTTTTGTTTTATTATCAATTCTCGTGTTCTCAATTATGATGCTTGGTTAGGGTATATCTTGAGGTTATCTTGAGATGATTTCGGGGCTTTAGTGTCCCCACGGCCCCAGTCCTTGACCAGGCCTGGGACAGGCCTTTGGAGCCGGTCGGCCAAGCGGACAGCACGCGGGACTTGTGATCCTGTGGTCCTGGGTTCGATCCCAGGCGCCGGCGAGAAACAATGAGCATAGTTTCTTTCACCCTATGCCCCCTGTTACCTAGCAGTAAAATAGGTACCTGGGTGTTAGTCAGCTGTCACGGGCTGCTTCCTGGGGGTGGAGGCCTGGTCGAGGACCGGGCCGCGGGGACACTAAAAAGCCCCGAAATCATCTCAAGATAACCTCAAGAGGCCTCCTACCTTGAGGTTACCTTGAGGTGCTTCCGGGGCTTAGCGTCCCCGCGGCCCGGTCGTCGACCAGGCCTCCTGGTTGCTGGACTGATCAACCAGGCTGTTGGACGCGGCTGCTCGCAGCCTGACGTATGTGTCACAGCCTGGTTGATCAGGTATCCTTTGGAGGATACCTCCACTCCCAGGAAGCAGCCCGTGACAGCTGACTAACACCCAGGTACCTATTTTACTGCTAGGTAACAGGGGCATAGGGTGAAAGAAACTCTGCCCATTGTTTCTCGCCGGCGCCTGGGATCGAACCCGGGACCACAGGATCACAAGTCCAGCGTGCTGTCTGCTCGGCCGACCGGCTCCTGGTTAGGTTGGTTAGACTCCCGGTAGCCTTGGTTAGGTTTTTTGGTTTGGTTAGGTTTAGCAGAGCACAGGTGACAGACTCCCCCATCACCATTTTTTCTTGCTTTAGGAAATTTGGTGTTTTTTCCAAGTCTGTCTGCCTGTGTCTGTAATAGAGACGCTCAAATGTAGATGTAAACTGAAAGCAAAACAATTTGCATACCTTGCATCATTATGTATTGGAATGTGAAAATATTATCAAAATTTATGAATAAGTTAATAAATGTGAAAGAAGTGAGTGTATTGTTCAAAATGATCTACTACCAGAAATTTTAACCAATTATCCCAAGTTTGTTAACTGTAGGTAGTGAATGCAGGTAGTTGTAACTGCAGGTCATTGTAACTGCAGGTGGCTGTAACCGTTCCACTACCGTCCACTGGTTGGGTGTGGAAAACTGTACACGATAGATAAATTAAACTTGTATATCTCGCTCAATTAACAAACTATCACCCTTTGTACACTACACATGTTTTTAATGGTGAAATTGCTTTAAGAAGGGTAATTTAACCACCCATGCAATCATTTGATCAACTACTGAATTTTAATGCAAGTGTTGCTGATTACATTATTGCACAATGTGTGATGTAATACTCATCTTATGTATGAGCCAGCATTGGGCCACCATGGTGTGTACCAAGAGAAGTGACTCTCAATGACATCTTTGTGTCTACTAACAAGCACCTTTTATATTTATAATAATATTTGTAATGTGCCCAACTTTAGGGCTGAATATAGGCTTGCCTCTTATAACTTGGGCTAGGTTAGTTCCTTTCTTAGAGTGAATACTGTTGATGAATATTTCTAATATATTTTGCAGGTTGGTAATTTCATCCGCCTTGTATTTCATCCGCCTTTATATTTCCTTTGTGGATTATTTTAGTAAAGCAGTGTCTCTTTGTCTGGATATTATGGATAATCAGTGTTTGAGTTCAGTTCCTGTATTTTTATTTTTATTCAGTTTTAGAAAATATTTTGACTGAAATGTACTAATTTTGTATTCAGCTAAAAGCACACTTGAGTAATTTTGCTACAGTATACAAATTTGATTTAATATTAGAAGCTTAAAATTATTTTATTTAGCTTCATTTTTTGCTTAAATTTTTTTCTCAATTTTAAAAATAAATAAATGATGCATTTAGTAATTACTGTCTCTTAATATAAAGTTTTATTTACAGAGGAAGTTGCCGAGGAGGGTGGAGGGGATGGAGGAGGAGATGGTGGTGGTGGAGGAGGAGGAGGTGGTGGTGGAGGCGGCGTTGGTGGAGGCGTCGGTGGTGGTGGTGGTGGAGGAGGTGGTGGTGGTGGTGGTGGTGGCGGCGGCGGTGGAGGTGGTGGTGGTGGAGTGGTAACCATAGCTGAGGGCGGTGAAGAAGAACAGATGAATGGAGATACTCAAGAAGTGTCTTCCTCAACAACACCACACGACACCGAGATGGACGAAGGTATTGGATGAAACGATACGCTAAATCACATTATTGTGACAATGACTTTAAATAATAATGTATAACATTATATATGCAATAGTTAACTGTTTGTCAAGGTATATTTATTTTGAAATGTCATTAGCACTACCAGAACTTGTACAACCATGCTGGCAAAATATTCATAACATTATTTGATCCATTTCATAGACTTAATATAGCAATACTATAATCCACATGAAGGGGTCTCCCTTTCCCCTCACGTTGATAGTCATTCTGTTTGTTTCAAACTTAATATAAACAGACGACAAAATACTGTACTTTCTTTTGTCTGCATTATATCTATGCTTAAGGCAAGTTTCATAATTTAAACAAATTTGCAAAAGTCAGTCTTTTATAGGATTTATAGTCAATATTTTATAGGATCTACAGTTAATAACCAATTATAGACTGGTATCTATCTTTTCGGCACTTGGCAAAATATTAGAGAAAGGTATCTACCATAAGCTAGTTGATCCAATATCACCAATATGGTTTTTGAAAAGAAAAGAACACAAAAACAATACAGATATAGTGAAATTCTGCAAGGATATTTTAAATGGTTTGATTACGAAATCTTTATAGTCTGAGTAGAGAATTTGACTTACCAATCATGCAATACTACGATGAAAGTATAATAAATTTGCTACTGAATACAGCATCTTAAACTGGTTTGAGTGCTACCTAAAAGGCAGAAGATGCCTCGTATTTTTCAGTAATGCAGTCTAAAACGCTAAAATTGATAACCGTGGTGTGTCCCAGGAGGGGTTACATTTAGGACATATTTTCTTCCCATCATACATAAATGATATTTGCAAGGCTTCAACAGTGGTTAAAATCATACTGTTTGCTTATGATATGACTATATCACTGGCAAAGACTAGAGCAGCCTTAACAACACCTTATATACAGATTTTCCCTTAATATTAGAATGGCTAGCTGTATAATACTGCACAGATGTGAGGGGGAAATTCCCTGGGGTGAAGTGTAACAATTAACTGGACAATAGTAACTAAAATATCCTCAAACCTGTCTCATGGTGCAGTTATTGAAGACCACCCGAGCTGAAGTTCCATTTGACCATCTTGGAAAGTTTTATAAAGCGGTGCTTTACAAACCAAGAGAAAATCTTTCATGATCAACCCTCACCTTTTGTATTGCACTTGCCTGTTGTCCTCTAACTATTCTTCTAACTTGAGAAAATTTGAGATAGCCCCATTGAAGAGTAAGGGTGCATTAGGTACTCTGAGAGAGAAGTCTGTAAACATTGAAATCTAAGACACTATACCCTCTCTAAATATAAATGGGAGAATAGATGGGATTATATTTGAGCCAGACTTGAGTGGCAATGCTCATGCACTGAAATGGCATAGTGCTCACTTCATAAATTATAAAATTAAGATTAGTGCTGCAAAGACTGCTGCATGGCTGTTAATATCAACAGTGATTAGAAAAACTAGACAACTTAAGAAGTTTATAATTGCTACCTAGTGAATAATGCTCGGCCTGTTGATTCTAATTTAGAATATTTTTAGTAAATAATATATTGTGGTTGGGAAGAGGGTCAAAATGAGCAAATGAAAATAAACAGTGAAAGTCATAAGTACTACTATGTTGTTTTTCAGTTCCCCTATATCTTCCTCATTTGCCAAAAGTGCATATTTGGCCTGCTCATCTATTCTTAAACTTTCTAACACCTTGTAGCATTTTTGCTGTTATTTCATCTTCATCATCATGACCTTTTGTGATTAATGAGTGTATGTGTTTCTGTGATTTTATGTTTTTGAGTTTTTCAGTCTTTTATCTCTTGATGATAATTGCTTTTAAAATGCCCCAAGCATCACCAAAGTGCTCTCTGCCTGTTGATGCGAAACTTGTATTGTTTCTGCTCTTATCTGCCTTTTCAGTCTTCTGTGGACTTAACATAGGTTTTGAATTACAATGTATAGACTGATTGTTTAGTTAATGCATACATTGTATAACTTAATTTCATAGAAACAATTAGTTTTTACTTTGCCAGTATTGGTTAAAATGTGACAGTAGATTGCACAATTTAAAAAAAATTATATAAGTGATAAATTGGTCTGTTTTCTTAATTAAGGTTCTCTTCAACAGATGATGCACGATCAGAAGCAAAATTTCAATACAGAGTTAAAGATTTTAGCAAGTTGAAAGACACAATGCTGTCACATCCGTGCTATGTTCGTAACTTGCCATGGAAGATTATGGTAATGCCACGTACAAGTCAGTCTCAAGATCGTCAACCTCAGCGTTCCCTTGGATTTTTCTTACAGTGCAATGGAGAGTCCGAGTCAACATCTTGGTCTTGCAATGCTGTGGCTGAATTGCGTCTCCTTTCTGTACGAGAAGGAATAACACCATTTACCCGAAGTTAGTTTGAAAACATTTGTTTTTCATGTCAAGAGGTTTATATATTTCTTAATATTTGAAAAGTTTGAATGAAATAATGGTATCTAATATGATTCTTCTGAAATTTTTGTTTTCTATTTTTCAGAAATTCAGCACTTATTTTACAGTAAAGAAAATGATTGGGGCTTTTCACACTTCATGGCATGGAATGAAGTCCTTGATCTTGAGAAAGGGTACATCAAAGATGACACAATTACATTAGAGGTCAGTGGATGTTGCATGTTGTACTTAATAAATATTTTGTAACCATTGCACTTTAAACATATAATAAGATAATACAGGTAAATTAGAATTTCTGTTCTTTACTGAATTCTTATTTTATTATGACAATTTAATTATTTATTGTTTTTATGCTTAAAGGTGTGGGTGTCTGCGGATGCTCCACATGGTGTGTCGTGGGACAGTAAAAAACACACCGGTTATGTTGGACTCAAGAATCAGGGCGCCACATGCTACATGAACTCGCTCCTTCAAGTTCTGTATTTTACAAGCCAGCTAAGAATGGTAAGCAACTAGCAACTTTCAATGCTGGCTGCATGGATGGTACCGAAAGGATGCCGAGAGGCCTTTGTTTTATATATTATAGTATTCTGTGGGAAGTGTATTTTAAATGTTTTAATATTTATATTTTTGAACGGTGCACAACAGATTCTTTTCAAACTTGAAAAACATGTTTGAATTGTTTGTTTGTTGGTGCTGTTACCTCTGGTGATTGTTTTGGGGGATCTTTATTTTGGCAAGAGATGTTTATGATAAATTTGATCATTTTGTATCAAGTTTAGTACATGTGTCATGGTAGCATGTGAACTGCTGTAATGTAGTTTGTCACTTATTGCTGCTTTAATAACTAATGATGTCTTAATTTCTGTGTTAATGTATTCTCATCTGTTGTATAATTTCTAATGTCTTAACTTTTCGACCTGCACGTCCTCCCCCCCCCCCCCCCCTCGTTCCTTCTTGGATAGTTCCTTGCCAAATGTTACTGTGTGGATTGGTGTATGTACACTGTATATATATACTGTCTCCCTCATGCTTCAGCAAGTGGCCATGTGTAGATTCTAGACATTTCTGATAATGTCCAAGTATTAAAAAAAAAAGACTATTGAACAGCTGAAATATATATCAAAGAAATTAACATTCTAGTTTGGCTTTTGTATAAAAAATTAAATGGCAAACACTTGGTTAAGGAATGCCATGAGTTATCACTTAAAAGTGAGAATGAAAAAAGATGTACTTTAAATACAAAGGTAAATTATATGTTTTTGAAAATTTGATGTTCAGGAAAAATTAGGTGATCAAGAGGTGGCAGTTCAGTTTAGGGCAGCCTAAAAGAACCATCAAAGATAAAAATAAACTCCTATTTTTATATTCCCCCTATCATAGTTTACATTGGTGAATGAGGCCAGCTTTCCTTTAATCTCACCCATGTGGACTTTTCTCATGCCATTATTTGTATTACTCATTGCTATACTGTACCACTGACTTGTAAACAATTTTGTAGTACTAATTTTTGCTTTTAACATCTCGCTAACAATTTTTTTGGCTTTGTCTGTGTTTCTTAGATAATGTACTTAATTTTGTGCATGCATATGTCATACCATTCTTTAACATTGATTACTTTCAACTTGGTCAAGTTCCTGTTTTGTCATACATCCCAGGTGTTTAAACTTGACAGATTCCAGTAATGTACTGTACTGTTGTTCTACATTAACATTTATTTCACATAGAAATCTCTGCTGCCTGTAACAAGTCTTAACCTATACTCTCCACTATATTTTCTTGGGGGAAAAAACTTGCAATTATTATACACACACATCTCATTATCTTCCAGATTAACTGTAATCTGTCTACGTCACCTTTTTATAATCCGTTTTTTCTTTTATGTTTCAAGTTTTTAACTGTATAGTTCTTAACTTTGTTTAGTGCTCTATATTTCCCTTTACCCCACATGCATTCACAGAGTGTATGATAATAATGGCAATCTTGATGCACTGCTACATTTGTGGTATTAAACTAGTCACTCTATGTACTAATTAACTCGTACACATTCTGGTTCATTCATGAGCATATCTCGTGTTGTTTGACATTTTGTCATTCGCTGTATCCTTATAACTTTAAATACAGGTAGTCCCTCATTTTCATCTGTTTATCCTGAGCAATAAAATCGTTATGTATGTTATTGTTTCTCTTGTGGGTTTTCCATTAGGTGCCTTACTGTGAATACCTCTCGTTCATCCTCAAAACAAGTTAAACTCAACACACTTGAACAAAAACCATGCATAAATACAAAATTTATGCACACTCACAAATCTTGTAAATGTAATGATGCATTAAGTAAATTGATCGTAAATCTGTATCGAGATGAACATAATGTGCAAAGGGGCAGAGATGAATAATTCAGCTGTTCTACATAACTTGATTCATCATGTATTTTCATCTTGTTTTATATTAATGCAAAGAGTTATCAACTAATGACGATGAGCTAAACTATTATAGTTTAGACATTTACATAATTTGAACATATATACATGATATTATTTACTAAAATAATTATTTGCCATTTTACAAAATTTCTCATGATAATTGTGGATGTCCACACCATCAGAGCTTGGTAGCATATATAGTGTAGATATACTGTAAACCTCTATTAATCTGGACCAGTTGGCACCAGATCCTATTCACTATGTCTGAATATCTAGGTAATTCTAAGATGTTTGTATGTAAAAATAGTTTGGTAAAAAATTGTTTGTTAATATTAATAATTAGTTTGCTTCTGAAATTATATTGGAAAGTGCATTTTTAATCTAGTAATTAAATTTAAAGTGAAACTGTTAAATTTGTTTTTAAAATTGTTGCCATTGTGCAAGTCTGGAATAGTGTGTTTATGAAATAAATGTAGGTGAACTGGTGATGCATGCATCTAACTGGATTTAATTAGAATTGTTATGTCCAAATCTCTGATAAATGGGTGTTTACTATTTTTAAAATTCATGAAATACTGTGTAAAGTAATAGTAATATATTAAAAGCAGTTTTAACAACGAATGATTTTCCGTAGGCTGTTTACAAAATGCCAACTGAAAGTGATGACTCGACAAAGAGTGTGGCACTAGCACTACAGCGGGTTTTCCATGAACTCCAGACAAGTGACAAACCAGTCGGCACTAAGAAACTGACAAAATCTTTTGGTTGGGAGACCTTAGATTCATTCATGCAACATGATGCTCAAGAATTTTTGAGAGTGGTAAGTTGAAAGGCTTTTATGGCAATTTGCAACTCATAATGTTTTTTATTACATCCTGTGTGTGCTCTCTAAATTTATTTGTAATTACTACAGTGCTGAAATCTTCAAAGAATAATTCTATGAGAGATTCAGTATTCACTTCAACTGGAAAAATATGAGCCTCTGTATAACAGGTTCCTCTGAATAATTAAATCTACCAACTGAATTTCACCCTCTGAAATATTATTATTATTATTTTTTAATGAACCTGCTTTGAATGTTAAGAAACACCTATTTCTTTGGGGGGCTCTCAGTGAATCCCTATAACTAGCCACATTTGAGGTAGCTCTACACCTATAAGTCACATCCGCACATGAGTTGAGTCCTTAAAAGTCAACTGGATACACAAGGCCAAAACCTGGTCTCCCCTCTCAGAGAAGCAGGGGATTCATGATCACCCTCACTTAAGAAACAAACCCCTCTGAAAGGAAGAGAAGCAAAACAGACAAGTACAAGATTATCAAAAGTAAACAAACCTTGCAGGAAATGATCCATCCAGAAGTTAGGTCATACACCCCCCCTAGTACCAGCTGACATCAGGTGGACTAGTGGCTGCACCACAGCTCCCCATATCATCACTCCTCAGTTCAGAGCCTAAGAAAAACCAACAAGTGCATTGGGTAGGGAGGGAAGGGTTCAGGGTGCCAATGAAACCCCCCCCCCCCCCTCCCTTTTCCCCACCCAGAAAGAGGTATTTCATTGCAGTCTGGAGAGGCTGGATGGTGGCTTCCTGTAATCTGAGGTCTTTCCAACCCCAGACAAAGATGACCCTATAGGCGAAGCAGAGTCACTGGGTAGGAAAGGAAAGCCTACCGAGAATCCTAGACCAAACCTAATCACGTCTTAATCCAGGATGGAACCAAGCTGGATTTTCTCCAGAACATCAGGAACCCAAACTCATTGAGCTGGGAAAATAACTAACTTTTTGTTTACAGATAAACTGACTGGTTGAGAACCCAAACCAGTCACTCAAGGTAGGCCAAAACATAGATATCTAAAAGATGTAGCTGGGTACAAAACTACTGTGAATCTGGGAAGAATCAAGAAGCCAGAATAATGCTAAAGAAAACCCAAAATCAGAAGCCTGAAGGTTCACAACAATCCCTAATCAGTCTCCAAACCTTCGCTTAAATAGAACTCGTCTCAAAAGTTGAGGGACACCAACCAGAAAGACCTCTTGCAACACCAGCCGGACTTGGGGCTAGAGTGATCATGCAAGAGACTTGACTCAGAAGGAAAAAACCAAACCTGAGAACCATAAGGCTGTCAAACCCTGCAAGAGGACTAAGATTAACTGGGACACCCAGTGAAGAGGTGGGTAAAATCTCTGTTGGGTGGCCAAGCACCACCACAAGCCCTGGGAGACTACCCAGTAAATTCCCTGCAATACAGTACTAAGAGCTGGCTCTGAAGAAAGCCTAACATTGACCAACAGTGGGTGAGACCCCCACCCAAAAAAAAAAAAAAAAGGCTTCTGAGCAGCCAATACAGAATGCCTACTGTGAAAGAACTTCAATGAGGGCTGGAATGAAAGTGTTATGGGAGTGTTATCATCCATAACACTATCATGTAATCAAACTTCCGGATAGTTTTGTAATGGCATTTGTATCACCGTGATTATTAGAGCTACTTCTCACACATACATAATCAATTGCTCTTTCAATAGCAATTTCCTGTGTACATAAAATATGTATTAGTAATACAATAAGTCTGTGGGGAGCTCCTACCTGGGAGTTCAGCCTACCGGGGACCATGAACCAGACCCTGGCCCCGCTCAGAGAGGTGCAGGGAGTAGTAGCCCTGGAAAATCCCCTCCCACATTGTGTTGTTTTTTTTTCTTATCTGCCATCAACTGGGGTTAGGCACCCAGAAACATAGGCATAACAAAACACACTCCACATGATGATAAAATTACAACTAAAAACCTTAAAGAGATGCAGAACTCCCTCCAATCCAAGGAAACAAGCAAACATCACACTCTGCTAAGTCGCTCGTCCTCGCAGTCCTCCCCTCCCAGTGCCAGCTACCTAGCACTCCAGTTCGTTCGCTAATGTGGTCCTGGGCAAACGTCGTCTCTGGCCTAGACTTCCTTTGTGATGACCTCTGCAGTGTTGTTGTGTGGTGGCCAGGTGTCCTCATCAGTACTGGGGCCGAATGTGCTTAGGGGCATCCTTCCCAAAGCGCCCTGTGAGTACTGCCCTTGCGTGTTAGGGTTCTCTTTCCTAAGCGCCCTGTGAGTACTGCCCTTGCGTGTTAGGGTTCTCTTTCCTAAGCGCCCTGTGAGTACTGCCCTTGCGTGTTAGGGTTCTCTTTCCTAAGCGCCTTGTGAGTACTGCCCTTGCGTGTTAGGGTTCTCTTTCCTAAGCGCCCTGTGAGTACTGCCCTTGCGTGTTAGGGTTCTCTTTCCTAAGCGCCCTGTGAGTACTGCCCTTGCGTGTTAGGGTTCTCTTTCCTGGTGTGTTTGGGAGCCATTTCCGTAGGGGTTTTTGATGCTCGGCATTTACCCCGCCCTTGGGGCCAGCTGGGGTTTCATGGCCCTTGTTTGACCTTAGGTAGGGAGTGGTATCGTGCTGGTTGGGGCATCAAGGTGTTGTGCAGCCTGCCTGCCTGCCTTCGTGGCGGCTGGTTCATGTTTCCTCTGGGGAGTTGTACTTTTGTGGGGTTTATCTTTGGTTTTGTTTTTATTGCCTGGTGGGGGTCTGCCTGGTGTGGCTATAGTTCCACTTTTAATATTTTGGTGGCCCTCTGCTAGGCCCCAGTGATTGTACACGTCGCAGGGGTTTCAGTGTTTTGATCTCCCCCTTGTTAGCTTTGGGTCTTAACTGGTTAGCAACACCTTGCCCGGGCTTTCCCTGTGTTGCTGTGTGCCCTTGTCTCAGGGTGACAGTCACCTCTTATTGCCTCCGTCATGCTGCCTGTTGGGTCAACATCACCTTTGACCCGGGGGTCTTCCTCGACCCTGTTACTTCCTGTGAGACCTGGATTCTGCCTCCATCGTGGATCCGTCCTTACTTGAGTTTGGTTCTTCTCCGTATTGGGTGTGTTTGTAGGTTCTGGAGTCTTCCTAGCTGACAGACTGCCCATTCTTTTCGTTGGGAGCGTGGCATGGGTTCTGTCGGACCCGCACGCTTGAGTGGCAAGAGACTTCTACCGTTCTGCATGTTTACCTGGGGGGGGGGAGGGGGGGAGATTGAGCAGCTTGATGCATGCATTTTTCGCCCGCTGTGCTTTCTTGGGATGTTGGCCTTGTGCAGCTGCACATGCAGGTTCCTACCCTTTTGGTGTCCTTGGTTGCTGAGGATTTGCACGCCTGTGGGCATTTAGCTTCAGGCTTGCATTTCTTTTCTTTTCTTGAGCTGTCTTTGGCCTGGCTCGAGGAGGATGTGGAGGCATTGAGTGCTAGGCCTTCGTCTGGTGTGCTGTCATCAGCGGCTGAGGCGTCGGCTGCGCTGTTGAAGCTGTTTGCGCCTATTCTGAAGGAGGCAGTGTGTGTTCTTTGCTACTCGCCTCACATGCCATCAAGGTGTGCTCGCTCTCTTTGGAATCTGCTTGGGCCCTGGCTGTTAGGTTTTCGTCTCCATTTTGTCTGTTGCTGTTTGCGGAGTCTGCTGTCCCACAGTTTCTGCAAGCAGCTTCGTCTAGTTGTCATCTTATGTCAGATTTGTTGGTTCTCTGGCGTGGCCGTTCTCGGAAGGGTTGTGTCAGGGCTTGGGGATCTGTAGGTCAAGGAGGGACATTGGTGCCAGTTTCTGAGTCGACATTGCTTTCGGAGCCGGTGTCGTCTGGTCGGTGCGATGATTGCTCTGTTTGTCGGTCGGCTTCTCATAAGGGCCCTTTGCTGTTCGCCCTGTTGACGAGACAATGGTGGGGAGGCTTGCTCTGTTTGCTCGCACTAGGTTCCACGATTCTTGGGCATTTTCGGTATTGTCATCTGGCCTATGGTAGCGTTGGGCAGCTCCTACTCCTTTGGGGTGTTTGGGGCTGGCAGGGCAGGCTTCTTCCTCTGCGCTACGTCAGGTCATCTCAGGGTGGGTGCGCTTGGGCGTGGTCGAAACAACCCCTTCCCTCAGGTGGGTTTCCCGCCTGATTCCAGTGCCGAAATGGGACTATGCGGATCTGAGGTTCATTCTGGACTTGTCCCGTCTGAACCCTTGGATTCCTTGCCCTTCCCTTTGGATTACCACTTTTCTCAGGTCCGGCTTCTTTTGGAGCTGGGTGCCTGGATGGTGTCCCTGGACCTCGAGGACGCGTATTGGCACGTTCCTATTCATCCGGGGTTAGGGACTGGTTAGGATTTGTGGTGGGGCGTCAGTCTTACTGCTTTCATTGCCTTCCTTTGGGCTTGAATCTGGCACCTTGCATATTCAACACGTCTTACTCAGAATGTGGTGACCCATCTGCATCTGCTAGAGGTTCAGGTCCTGGCCTACTTCGACTACTGGGTGGTGTGGGCTCCTAGGCTTGTCTGCTCGCCAGGATGTGTGGTTCTTTCCCAGCTCGCTGGGTTCGGGTTCCTGGTGAACTAGAGGAAGTCCCATCTGGTTCCGTCCCAGGTTCGGACCTGGCTGGATCTTGTTTGGGACTCTTGGATCGCTTTTATGTCTCCTTCTGGAGGCGTTGCTGAGGCTGCAGTTCCTGCCTTTGACTGTTTCTGGGGGGTGGGGAGGAGGTCCCAGATTACGTGGCGGATGCTTGAGCAGTTCTGTGAGGGTTTGAACTTCACTGTGCTGGTCTCCCCACTGGGTCACATTTGGCTTTGGTGTCTGTTCTGGTTCCTTCGGTGATGCCCCTTCCGCTTCTCTCGTGATAGCTGGGTTCGTACTCCTGGGGCCTTGCGTCAGTTGCTACATCGCTTGCTTCCTCTTTGGGGTTTTCTGGGATCTGTGCCTTGGTGCCTACCCGAGCCCTTGCTCGATGTGTTCATGGACGTGTCATCTCTCAGCTGGGGCTTTGTGATCAGTGCTCACCAGGGCGGCCTGGGGCGATGGGGTCCGCTCTTCCGTCGGGCTCACAGCATGGTGCAGGAGTTCGCGGCGGTACAGCTTTCGCTTCGGAAGGTTTGGATTACTTGTGGTTCGAGTGGCTCATCTGCTGGCTTCTCGGGGTTTGCTCTGTGCAGTTCATATCCGGGGAGTGTCCAACAGCCTTGCAGATGGCCTGTCTCAGTTCATGCCTCTGTCCACTGAATGGATGGTCGACGCCGACTCCTTCCGTTGGCTCTGCGGACGTTCAGACTCCGGGATGTGGACCTGTTCGCGTCGGCATCTCCCGATCTATGTGGTGTCCTCTCCTGACTGCGAGGCTGTCGCAGTGGATGCCTTCGGCAGGACTGGTCGAGGTGGGGTTACCTGTACCTCTTTCCCCCGGTCCAGCTGTTGCTTCGGGTTCTGGCTTGGTTCGAGTCCTACCAATGGAGAGTAGGCCTCGTGGCCCCTTGGTGGCCGGCCCAGCCTTGGTTCCAGGTTCTACTTGCTTGGTGTGCGAACCTGGGGCGTTTTTCGTGGCTTCACCTCTTCCAGCAGTTTGGACTGGTCTGGTACACGGCTGGTTCGGTCTTCTCCTCTCTTCGCATCTGGTCTTTTTGATGCGGGTTTATCACCATTTATATGATGATCAGGTGGCTTCGTGTGTGAGAGAGCTCTCAGAGCTCTCAGGGTGAGAGCTCAGGTGAGAGCTCACCTGAGAGCTCTATCTCGGCAACAGTATGACATTACCGCACGTACTCCATGCACCAGTTCTGGTGAAGACCTGGTATACTGACAACACTGCACCATCTGTAGACAGTTTTACTGGAACACCAGACTTGACTGTACCAGTAACCAAGCACTCCTCTGGGATTTTTACAGTTATTTATTATGTGAGATTGGCTGAAATATATGCTACTGTGTATAGAAACCAACTTGTATGCATCACAAAGCATGTCCAATACTTCTAGCAACACAAACAATGAGTGGGATGAAGTGAGTGTGAAAGAGCTTGCCAGATATTTGGGACTGACAATGATGATGGGCATTGTGAAGATGCCAGAAATGACTATGTACTTGCAAACAGCTAAATTGTGGCATGCACCTTCGTTCAATGCAATTATGATGGCGAAACGATATGTAACAATTGCAAAGTATTTTTATACTAATAACAATAATACCATTCCCAAAGACAATGAAGAGAGACTAATTAAAGTTAGAACAATACTAGAATATCTAACACATAAATGTAAAACACTATACATTCCTCAAATATCTGTGTTTGGACGAAAGCACAATGTCATGGAGGGGCTGTTTATCTCTCAAGGTTTATAAACCTGGTAAGGATGGAGTAAAACTATACCTGCTAGCTGAATTGCATACTGGTTACATCTATGATTTTGAAGTGTATGCAGGAATTGGAAAGACAATAATTCAAACAGTTATGGGCTTGATTGAACCACTGTAGAACAAGGGTTACCATTTATATATGGATAACTACTATAACTCGGTTCAACTTAGTGAGAAGCTGCTTGAACAAGATGTATACACCTGTGGTACTCTCAAATTGCAGCATGGTGCACCAAAAGATCTTCAGCTACAAGCAAAGAGTAAACTGGCCGTAGATAAACCTGTATTCAGATGAAAAGACAATACTTTTATAATCCTGTGGAAAGATAAGTTGCTTCACTCATCAAAACTTGCCACAATGCATTTACACAAGAAGTGGAACAAAGGAAACGTGTATGCAAACTTGACGGAACATCTTCATTTCAACAGGTCATTGTGAACAAACCAAAGGCAATCTGTGATTACAATAACAACATGAAAGGTGTTGATCACTTCGACCAAATGGTCAAATATTTATCATTTCACACGGAAATGTCACAAGTGGACGAAGAAAATCACATTCTATTTTCTGCAAATGACTATCCATAATGCTTTTGTGTTATACAAGTACTACACAACTGATACAAAGAAACTCTCTTTGCTCCAGTTCCACTAAGTAATAATTTGGTCACTGTTGAACTTTGAGTATAAGAATTGGCCTCTCCAAAATGACAAAATCATACATGCTGGTGATGTACATGACGACGAGAGCAGACCGTCAACGTTGGACCATCAGGTCTGAGGCGGCCACTCTTCCCTTCTTTACCACGAAATGAATAATCATTATCAGACTCAGAAGATGAGGTCAGATTACTCCTAGTGCTGCTGCTGCTAGGAAAAACCCTAGCATCGTGGATAAACCCGAACATCTGAACAGAAACTTAACCATTCCATAGTTTGCATCAAGAAAGGTCTGAAGTGTGGTGTTTGCTACGAGTTTAGTAAAAAGGAAGGACAGCAGGTATAAGTGCAAGTCGTGTGTGGTGTGGCACTATGTCCTGCACCATGCTCCGGCTTGTACCATCGCACGAGGACATACTGGGTGGATAAGCAGTAATGCTTACCCCACCATCCACTCCTATAAAACATGGGTTGAGAAACTTCAGGAAACATTTTCCAGGAGCAGGTGGAGTGGTTTAACCTAATGCTCAACTCATGCTCTACAATCATCATTGGGTGGTAAGTACAGACATCTTAATTTTTTTTATACATATGATATTGTGGTACAAACACATGTGGGAAGGAAGCAAGACAAAATGAAATAGTGTAACAAATAATGTCAGGAACAAATAACGAGTATAAATAATGATGAAAAGCAGTTATTTTCACATGATGATGGACTTTATTCTTAAGGTATTGGTAATGTTGTTCTTCCCTTTGCCCTTATATGAATATACCTTTAGAGCATTTTATTGCAAACAAATTGATACCAAAATGAACGACATATCATGAAACTTGAGGTGATAAAACTGAAAAGAGTATACACATTTTAGTGTGGGAATTGTGGGTGTGTGGATGGATGCTTGCTCACTGGTAATGCTCGGCGGATTTTTGGGTTTGCTGTAGGGTGGCGTGCCAGGCATTTTGCCCTTATATGCACATATCCCTTTAGAGAGTTCTATTGCGAACAATTTGATACCAAAATCAGCGATGAAGCACAAAAATTGAGGTGAGAAAACTGAAAAGAGCATACACATTTTAGTGCTGTTGCATGCTCACGTTCATAGGTAACGCTCGGCTGATTTGCGGGTTTGCTGCGGGTGGCACGCCGGGTTTGCTTTTACCTTGGATGCATATATCCCTTTAGAGAATTCTATTGTGAACAATTTTATACCAAAATTAACAACATAACATGAAAATTGACGTGATAAAGCTGAAGAGTGTACACACTTTAGTGCGGATGTGCGCTCACGGGAAACACCAGGCTGACTTTGGGCCCTAGCACATCAAACATTCCCTCCTGTTAAAATTTAACCACTTCCTCTATTTTGTTCCTTAATTACTTTCATTCCTTACATTTTACACAGCCATACAAAACCTGCCTTGTTTTTCGAGGGCTTGGGCATGTGTAAGCTCTAGATTCAATGTACAGTATTAAGAATGTGAGTCAACCAGTTCAGTCTTCCCATCCCTGTATTGCTGGAGATTTAGTGCTATTTGCCCCCACATTGTGGTGGGCGATGGGGTTGTCGTGTACCTATGCCATTACACTACTACGTAAATTTGTATTAGTATTATACTGTATGAGTACTTGGAACTACTGGAATTGAGAGTATGTTGAATTTGTGGTTTGTTTACTCTTAAAAAAAGATGGGATCTTCCCATACCTTGAGGTGTTTTCGGGACTTAGCGACCCCATGGCCCGGTCGTCGACTAGACCTCCTCGTTACTGGACTGGTCAACTAGGCTGTTGGACACGGCTGCTCGCAGCCTGATGTATGAGTCACAGCCTGGTTGATCAGGCATCCTTTGGAGGTATTTGTCAAGTTCTCTCTCTTGAACACTGTGAGTGATCGGCCAGTAATGCCCCTTGTGTGTAATAAGGCAAAGTGGTAATAAGGCCATTACCCCCTTCCAGCATCAGCATGATTATTTACACAAGCCACATGGTTACATTTGTATTTCTTAGAATGTTTCTGGATTTTTAAATTTCGGATTTTTTTTGGAAAACTGAAATTGCACTATACAGCACATACATGGAGCTACAGTATATGTATTTGCCATTCTCTGGTGTGTAATTACTCTGCAGAAATTAAAGAAAGTAGGAATTAAAAATAAAAATGGTTAATTATTTAGGTAACAAATAGAAAATTGGAGTACTGTATCAAAATAGGAAATGTTGATAATGAAAATATTAAAATATATTATGTTCAGAAATACAGTTTGGAATGAACAAATTGTCATTTTGGTATGTTAATTAATGTTACATTCGTGATTGGTTGGTAAATCTACAACTGATCTAGTTCTTCTGACTTGTAAAGATGAAATAAACTGTAGATGAACTATTGATATAAGTACAAGCAAAGATTAATAAACTGCTGCAGGTCTGCTAGTGCACTGTATGCTCATGTTATATTTGTTTTTTACAGCTGCTAGACAAATTAGAAACCAAAATGAAAGGGACGTGTGTTGAAGGAGTAATTCCAAGGTTATTTGAAGGCAAGACATTGGTAAGTACTGCAACTTTGATGTGGATGAAGTCTCATGCAAAATACTGATGTAAGACTGACTAATGTTTCATTGAAGTCATTCTTTTGGATTTGCTTCATGAGAATATAAGAGTTTGTTAAATGTGGTCGTAAATTGTTTAAGTGTTGTAGTAAGTGGTGTTTGTTTGCTTCTTTTCCAGTCTTACTTCAAGTGTAAACATGTAGACTACACTTCTTCAAGAACAGAGACCTTTTATGATATCCAGCTAAATATAAAAGGAAAGAAAGACAGTAAGTAGAGGGTTTGAGCACAAGGAAAATATTGCACATTTGTGCCCATAAAGTTCTGATGATAAACTAAACATTGGTCATGTTTGTTATTGTACTTGTTGATATGGCTTCACCACACTGAATTTCTTCACTTCAAAATTGTAACACACATGGTTAGAATAAAACAATTTGCTTATTTGTGTTTAGGTTAATTTTAGTACCAGTTTTTCCTGTAATTGTAATGTATTGTTTTCAATGACTATTTTCCAACAGTCTACGAATCCTTTAAGGATTACGTGAGTGTAGAAACTTTAGAGGGTGACAACAAATATGATGCTGGGGAGCATGGGCTGCAGGAGGCAGACAAGGGGGTCATTTTCCAGAGCTTTCCACCTGTGCTTCATCTTCATCTGATGAGATTCCAGTATGACCCCATCACAGACTCCAATGTTAAAATAAATGACAGGTGAGGACGTACATGCAGCTTCTCATTCACCATTATTATTTTTATTTCGACTATTTTTTCTTCAATTTCGTATATTTGTTTATTATTACTTTTCATGATAGTGTTTATTCAAGGTAAAGTAGACACTTGATAACTTCAAGGCCAGTAACCCAAAAATCATAGTAACCTGGATGAACTCTGTTTTGTATTATGTCTTTGGGCAACCCAAACAGCATTAGGATTACCTAAACAAATTGAGCAGAGGCCAGAGGGAAGAGCTGTACATAGTCATTAGTAAAAAGTGAGCAATGATCATTTTGGATAGGTGTTGGCAAAGCTAAATTGCACCATAGAGACATGAAACATCCAACTGATGAACATCTAAATGATTCCTTCGGGAACAAAAGTTCACTTAACACTAGTAAGACAAACCAATCATTAACTTGGCTTCCTAGTCACAGCCAGTATGCAAAACAGGACATGGGCTAAATAGGATGCTTGGGTAATCATATGTATATGCACAATAAATCAAATAGAACTGGCATTGGGACAGGTGATTGTCATGCACAAAATATCACACAAAGATCTGTCGATGGGACAGTCAATAACAGTAGCAGATGGGTAGCTAAATTTGTGTTGTGCAATATCACATACACAAAGTAGTGCAATACTTTGTTACCACACTGATGAGTCACGTCTTCACCCTCTGTCTTTCTAATCTCAGCCTTCACCTGTTCCAGTTATTGGAAAGGCAAGAATAATTGGCAGCTCACTGAGAACTATGTGTAGAGAGAGAATAACAACAACAAATTTCTTTACTTGAAGTGACTGGCCCTCATCACACACTTGTGCCAAAATCATATAGACAGCTCCACAAGTGGTCTGGCAACTGGTATCTCATGTTAGTGTGCACATGGCACATGTGGAGTTAACAGGAGTATGGCGATCATCTCAACACTACTGCATGTGGTATCATGCAAGGTGGAGAGGTGGCCGATGACACCACGTGGCGTATTGATGCCAATGTGGCGGATGGTGATTTAAGCGATGATGATCAGTACACACAGGATATGAAGTGGCAAGACACAATGAGTGACACGTGGTAGTTGCCTCCCACAAACAGGTGTTGCGGCAAATTCTACATTCAAACAATGTGGTGGCACTCGTACAGTTTGTGCAGTGTTCGCTGATACACTTTCCATCATTTAGCATCACTGATGACTTTGATTTTAGATCACAATGGCTCACTGGACACATACACTCTTTCTTTATACCTTGTGGTGTCTGAGTTATCATTGATAACTTGATTTCAGTATAAATACAGTTGTGATTCAGGGCCTACATTAGTTATATTGAAATATGAATATCATGGCATTAATTTGGCATGTCGGAGGACTTGGTGGCATAAATAAAGTCTCTTAGTCATGAGACAAGATACACATATCTTCTTAGTACAAAACCCTTGACTGGAATGCTGGAAATAACAACTCTTGCACCTCACCAGGGGCCTCATAAGAGCAAGCAGTTAGACTATGAATTAGTCAAGGAGGGGAAAGGCTGTATGCTTTTTCCCATCACACAGGTCTATGTATGGTGGTATGAGGTATGACGTCATGAATGTCACTACTCGTGGCCATGGGAACTGACCTGAGGATTATTCCCTTATCTGACATAGGGCTGCCTTTGACTGGAAACATGCACACTAGCACAAAGAATGGTTGATCTTCCTTGGCACTGTTTTATTATGTAAATGCTTCAGCTTGTCCTTGCCGATGACACAATGGGCACACAACGGTCATCACTTTGCTTGTGGCAATTAAGACACACACACATGAGGTATGAGCTACGAGGAAGGGCTAAAGGAGCTGAACCTCATGTCCCTGGAAAACAGAAGAGTAAGGGGAGACATGATAACCACCTACAAAATTCTCAGGGGAATTGACAGGGTGGACAAAGACAAACTCTTCAGCACGGGTGGGACACGAACAAGGGGACACAGGTGGAAACTTAGTACCCAGATGAGCCACAGAGACGTTAGAAAGAATTTTTTCAGTGTCAGAGTAGTTAATAAATGGAATGCACTAGGCAGCGATGTGGTGGAGGCTGACTCCATACACAGTTTTAAATGTAGATATGATAGAGCCCAGTAGGCTCAGTAATCTGTACACCAGTTGATTGACAGTTGAGAGGCGGGACCAAAGAGACAAAGCTCAACCCCCGCAAGCACAATTAGGTGAGTACACACACACATGTCCCACATGCCAGGTCTATAACCATCAAGACAGATAATAGAACCCTGCACTCTTTGTTGTATATGCGAGAGTGAAATCAAAGCTGGATGTACTGCAATATACCTCGCATATTAGCTGTGGAAAATTTATATCTCACAATTATATCTGTACACATTATATTGCTGAGAGTGGGTTGATGAGTTGGGATAACTATATATGCTGGTGCATTGGCTGCCTATTAAGAATATTCACAACATTGATTTGTGAGATGTGCATGGCGTAGGTACAGGGGACACTGCCCTCAATCATCTTAAATCAAAGTGTATCTAATTGTTGGCAAAATTTAAAAACTAATAGCAGCTAGTGTGTGTGTAAATCATGTTGGCCCACAAACCTTTGACAGATTTAATAATGCTCTGGTAATATTTATCTCTACAAATTTTTAATTTAATATAATTTTTTTGTTTCCAGATACGAGTTCCCAGAGAAGTTAAACATGGATCAATTCCTACAGAAGCCTGACACAACACCAGCCACATATGTTCTCCATGCAGTCCTGGTTCACTCTGGTGATAACCATGGCGGTCATTATGTTGTCTTCATCAACCCTAAAGGCGATGGGCGGGTACGAACACTTGTTAATCTCCAGCATTACATATTTGTATTGTCTCTACCTTCATTGTACAGTACATTCTTTGTTATCTGAAACTATTTAGAAAGTCAATAAAATGGGTTGTGTGGTGATTAAATGCATTATGGAAGCCTCCTGCCACTGGCCGTGATATTAGGACTGTCGGCATGGCATGCACACAGGGGTCATGTATATTAAAAGATAATTCTTGCCATTGTCTTCATTTGCATGTTTGAGAGATGTGGAATTTAATATTTTATATTAATTTTGTGTTCTTTACAGTGGTGTAAATTTGATGACGATGTTGTGTCAAGATGTAGTAAGCAGGAGGCCATTGATCACAATTTTGGTGGGCATGAGGATGATCTCAACTTGACTGTAAAACACTGTACAAATGCCTATATGCTTGTGTACATAAGAGAGTCTTGCCTGAGGACTGTTCTGCAGGAAGTAACAGAGGAAGACATTCCCCAAGAACTTATTGACCGATTGCAAGAAGAGAAACGAATTGAAATGATACGTCGCAAGGAGAGAAATGAAGCACACTTATATATGAATATTCAGGTCAGGCTGCAAATTGATATACATGTTTATATAAATGTACTCTCGATATGCATTTGTCTTCGATTTTACATATCCATTCATTATCATCATGTTCTTGGCTCTTGTTCAATATAGCTCTTCATTTGTTGTCATTGTCTTATGTTTAGTCATTATATCATCACACGTTTGCCTAGTTAAGATTTTCAAGCCCTTTCTGAACTTTTACTCCTGTCTTTGGCTTTCCTTCTTTTCAATTTTAAGATTTGAATTGTTGCCAGGTAATTCTTCATTTTTCAGTTGTCTTATGTCCAGCACATCTCTAACTTGCTTTAGCACATTTTATTTTACATTACCTTATACCAAATATGTTCCCAAGAATGTAGAATATTTCCAAGAATTCCCAAGGATTTTTATATACATTATCTAATACCTAGTATTTCTTTTGCTTGCTTGTATTAACTTGTTAGCCTTATTTTCTGTCAGTAATACTTGGCATTTTTATTATTTTTATAAATCCAGATAAGTTCTTAATTGTTAGTAATTGAAATACTGAACATATGGCTAAAATGGGATTTTGAGGCCATTTGTAAGATTCGATGTTCGTGAGCTGGTTATTTGTAAGTCAGGGACCCTCATTATTTTGTTTTCTGTATTTTCAGTATTTTTTCTGAAAATATATTGATTTAAAAACATTGATTTTAAATTGTACATTTATTAATGTTGACATTTTATTTGCAGGTTATCCTGGAAGACTCATTTTCTGGTCACCAGGGCAATGACCTCTATGATCCAGATAAAGCCAATTATAGAATATTCAAAGTCAAAAAATCTGCCACGTTACAAGACTTCTTAGAACAAGTTGCAGAGAGCCTTGTGAGTTTATTATTTTGTATTATTGATAATTATTCTAACTGTCAAGAGTAACCAATGTGGGTGCTCCCCTTCCCTATTAATAGTAATCTATGAGGGTGCTCCCTCACCCCTATTACAGTGGTAACTCATATTGGTGCTCCTCCATCCTATTACAGTGGTAACCCATATTGGTACTCCTCCATCCTATTACAGTGGTAACCCATATTGGTGCTTCTCCATCCTATTACAGTGGTAACTCATATTGGTGCTCCTCCATCCTATTACAGTAGTAACTCATATTGGTGCTCCTTCATCCTATTTCAGTGGTAACCCATATTGGTGCTCCTCCATCCTATTACAGTGGTAACCCATACTGGTGCTCCCTCACCCTATTACAGTGGTAACCCATACAGGTGCTCCTCCATCCTATTACAGTGGTAACCCATACAGGTGCTCCTCCATCCTGTTACAGTGGTAACCCATATTGGTGCTCCTCCATCCTATTACAGTGATAACCCATACAGGTGCTCCTCCATCCTATTACAGTGGTAACCCATATTGGTGCTCCCTCACCCTATTACAGTGGTAACCCATGCTGGTGCTCCTCCATCCTATTACAGTGGTAACCCATACTGGTGCTCCTCCATCCTATTACAGTGGTAACTCATATTGGTGCTCCTCCATCCTATTACAGTGGTAACCCATACTGGTGCTCCTCCATCCTATTACAGTGGTAACCCATATTGGTGCTCCCTCACCCTATTACAGTGGTAACCCATGCTGGTGCTCCTCCATCCTATTACAGTGGTAACCCATACTGGTGCTCCTCCATCCTATTACAGTGGTAACTCATATTGGTGCTCCTCCATCCTATTACAGTGGTAACCCATACTGGTGCTCCTCCATCCTGTTACAGTGGTAACCCATACTGGTGCTCCTCCATCCTATTACAGTGGTAACCCATACTGGTGCTCCTCCATCCTATTACAGTGGTAACCCATATTGGTGCTCCTCCATCCTATTACAGTGATAACCCATATTGGTGCTCCTCCATCCTATTACAGTGATAACCCATATTGGTGCTCCTCCATCCTATTACAGTGGTAACCCATACTGGTGCTCCCTCACCCTATTACAGTGGTAACCCTTGCTGGTGCTCCTCCATCCTATTTCAGTGGTAACCCATATTGGTGCTCCTCCATCCTATTACAGTGGTAACCCATACTGGTGCTCCCTCACCCTATTACAGTGGTAACCCATGCTGGTGCTCCTCCATCCTATTACAGTGGTAACCCATACTGGTGCTCCTCCATCCTATTACAGTGGTAACCCATGCTGGTGCTCCTCCATCCTATTACAGTGGTAACCCATGCTGGTGCTCCTCCATCCTATTACAGTGGTAACCCATATTGGTGCTGCTCCACCCTATTACAGTGGTAACCAATACTGGTGCTCCCTCACCCTATTACAGTGGTAACCCATACTGGTGCTCCTCCATCCTATTACAGTGGTAACCCATATTGGTGCTGCTCCATCCTATTACAGTGGTAACCCATACTGGTACTCCTCCACCCTATTACAGTGGTAACCCATACTGGTGCTCCTCCATCCTATTACAGTGGTAACTCATATTGGTGCTCCCTCACCCTATTACAGTGGTAACCCATACAGGTGCTCCTCCACCCTATTACAGTGGTAACCCATGCTGGTGCTCCTCCATCCTATTACAATGGTAACCCATGCTGGTGCTCCCTCACCCTATTACAGTGGTAACCCATATTGGTGCTCCCTCACCCTATTACAGTGGTAACCCATGCTGGTGCTCCCTCACCCTATTACAGTGGTAACCCATATTGGTGCTCCCTCACCCTATTACAGTGGTAACCCATGCTGGTGCTCCCTCACCCTATTACAGTGGTAACCCATATTGGTGCTCCTCCATCCTATTACAGTGATAACCCATACATGTGCTCCTCCATCCTATTACAGTGGTAACTCATTGGTGCTCCTCCATCCTATTACAGTGGTAACCCATATTGGTGCTCCTCCATCCTATTACAGTGATAACCCATACAGGTGCTCCTCCATCCTATTACAGTGGTAACTCATATTGGTGCTCCTCCATCCTATTACAGTGATAACCCATACAGGTACTCCTCCATCCTAATACAGTGGTAACCCATACTGGTGCTCCTCCATCCTATTACAGTGGTAACCCATACTGGTGCTCCTCCATCCTATTACAGTGGTAACCAATACTGGTGCTCCTCCATCCTATTACAGTGGTAACTCATATTGGTGCTCCTCCATCCTATTACAGTGGTAACTTATATTGGTGCTCCTCCATCCTATTACAGTGGGAAGCTATGGTACGGTCTCCCCTCCCTACTACAGTGGTAACTTCAATGGGTGCTCTCCCTTCTTGTTCCATGTGTGTGCCCCCCCCACTCCCCTCCCTGTTTCAGAGGGGAATGAAACAATGATCGTTCCCCGATGTAATTTCTCGCCCATGTGAACAGCCCTTGCATTTATTGCCAATGTATTTTCACTGATAATTACACTTTAGGATGCCTGAAATATCTTGAATGAAATGGAAGGATTTTGACTGAACCCATTAACATGCTGTGTATCAGTTCTTCAAATAAAAAGGGTCATTGCTCTTAGTTTTTAACTCTATATAATAGGGTTTTATATAAGCTAGTACAGTAAATACATGACATAAATACATATTAGACATGACTAATAATAACTTGGTACTGTATAATTTGTAGTGGAAGGGTAGTTAAGTTTACAGTATTATCAATAGTACATGAAAAAAATGAATTGTCTGTGGTCAGATAAAGATGTCTTGCAATACCTTTCTAATATGAGTAACATTTGTTTACTCCATAGATTTATAGAAACTAACATTGCCTTAATAAAGTGTGTGTTAACCTAATATAGAGATTGTTACTTAACGCTTTCACTGGCCTGATGGGCGGCCCGTCGCTTTCCACAAGGTTGGCTAAGCGTTCCCTGTGAGCTCACCCCCACACTCCAATGTTTATACAGGGGGCACCTCGGTTTACGAATTTAATCCGTTCCTGGAGACGGTTCATAAACCGAAGCAAATTTTCCCATAAGAAATAATGGGAAATGAATTAATCCGTTCCTGACTCCCCCAATTTTATACCTAATTCATCATATCTTCACTACAAAAGTATGTACAAGTTATTACTTGCCTATACTGATGAATCCTTATGGCGTATAGAAGATGGTGAGGAGGGGGGAGGAGGAGAGATGTTACTGTTTGGAAGGGGAGTCCCCATCCATTATAACATCAGGCAGTGATGACTTCTCTGGGGTACACACTCTGGAACATATTGCCTGCATACCACTATGACCAGCTTCTGGCTCACTGCATGATTTTCTCATTGTTTTTCTTGAATATTGTTTTTCCCTTGTTTGTAACACTTGTCTGTAGTGAGAGACATTGTCATTAATACGATAATGCAACAGCCTGCTAAAGCTTTATCTGGGCGACTCTTTTCAGCAAAACTTTGCAGTTCTTCCCATACTGCACACATTTTCTTAATTAATGAGGAAAGGACATCCTCTACTGCCTCCTCCTCCTGAAAATTTGTTATACTGCCTAGCTAGCTCAACAACACGTACCATTTTCATGTTTACGAATGATCTCTTGTTTTTCCTCTATGATCATTCTCAGGTGTGTTTTCTTGCCTCGAACCTTACCACTGGCTTTCTTGGGACCCATGGCAAAATATATAATAACAATTTTTATGTTCAAGTAGCCAAAAATCCGAAAAGAAACTGTAAATCCTTGCAAAGAATTCAGGCGGGATAATCACTAGGCGGGAAGCACTGGTAAACTGAGGTGTGATCGCCGTGCCACCACATGCTAGGTCGGCCATACGGGTATCAACAAACTTGTATCCCGAGGTAAAGTTCGTAGCCTGATTCTAATTTTCCGAAGTAATCGGGCTCGTAACCCGAAGGGTTTGTAAACAGGAGCATTCGTAAACCGAGGTACCACTGTACTCATTCAGCTTTCTCAACTCAATTTTCATGCTACGTCGTTCAATTTGGTATCAAATTGTTCTCATTAGAATGTTCTTAATGAATATTTGCATATCAGAACAAATATAAGTACAGGGTACCTCAGTTTACGAATTTTATCTATTCCCAGAGACGGCTCATATCTCAAATTCGTAAATGAAGTGAATTTCTCCATAAGAAATAATGGGAAATGAATTAATCCGTTCCAGACTCCAAAAAAAATTAACTTCCAAGTAAATTTTATACCCAATTCACCCATATCTTCACTACAAAAGTATGTACAAGTTATTTACTTTGTTGACGACTCCTGTTGGCGTACGGAAGACGACGAGGAGGGGGGGAGGAGGAGAGGTGTTACTGTTTAGAAGGGGGAGTCCCCCTTATATTATAACATCAGGCAGTAATGATTTCTCTGGGGTACACACACTGGCACGTTTTGCCTGCATACCACTAGGACCTGCTTCTGGCTCACTGCTTGATTTTCTCACTAGAAATCGTTCCATTGAAGATTGTTTTTCCCTTCTTTGCAACACTTGTCTGTAGTGAGCCATCACATTGTCATTTGAAAAGGTTAATGCTATGGCCTATTGCAGCTTTCTCTGGTGAGTCGTTTCAACAAAAGTTTGCATTTCCTCCCACAGTCTACACCACTTCCTAATTGTTGAGGAAGAGACATCCTTTACCGCCTCCCCCTCCCATGAAGAAATATCCTTAGCTGCCACTTGCTGCTGCTCCTTTTAAAGGGCTTGGAGTTCTTTGGTGGTCAGTTCTTCACTGTGTTCCTGCTCCAACTCCTCCACATCAGCACCATCCAACTCCAAGTCCATTTTCTGGCCTAGAGTAACAATGTCTTCAACAATAGGCACTTCATTTGCAGGCTCAAACCCCTCAAAGTCTAGTTCTGAAACACGTTCAGGCCACAATTTTCTCCAGCCAGAGATCAGGGTTCTTTGAGTCACTTTTTG